TCACAGCTGCAGGAAACCCAAGGCAAAGGAAAAAGCACACAACAGATAAATGGGCTCCACGTCCTTTATTATCACATTGGAGGCATCCGCACATCCTGATGTCAAGGCTAAGGACAAGCTACAGTGGTCCACTTGGGGCCTCCCGGTGGCGCAAGGGCTTAAGTCTCAGCACGACGAAGCTGTCCGCAGCCTCTGCAGCGCGAGTTCCAGCCCCCGCCAGGGAGCTACCCACAGGGCGCAGCAGACCTCTCCTGTCTCCCCGCTGCTCCCCTCAGCAGTGGGTTTCAGTCCATCTGCCTGTTCTGCTCCCCGCTCTGTCTCTGGTGAGTCCTCGCACTCTCTGCACTTCTGGCCTGCACCCCAGATCTTGTAGCCACAAAGAAAAAAAAAAAAAAAAACCCTTTACAACTCAATAACAGAAAGGTAAATATCCATGTAAACAATAGGAAATTTGGAAAAATATTTCTCAAAAAGACAAAGAACATAAAACTGCCTAATGCGCACGTGGAAAGATGCTAAACAGGACACAGCACCGGGGAGCCAGGCGCCCCGCAGTGAAACTCCGGTCACACCCGCCGGGGCCTCCAGCAGGGACCGGGTGTGGGGCCGGCCCCGTGCGCGCTGCCCGGACGCCCCGCGAGCGCCCCTCGGGAAACCGGCTGGAGAAGCCTCTGGCGCCCCCAAGGCTCGGCCCCCGGCGCTGGCGCGGCTGTGGCCGCCGGGGGAGCGCCGGGCAGAAGCCCCGAGTTTCCTCAGAGGCTCAGAGCCTCGGCCCCTCCTGGCTCTCGCAGCCCGCAGCCTCGGCCCTTTTTCGGAGCCACGCTCGCGCTGCCCTGTGTCTCGAAAGGGGCGACTCCTGCACAGAACCTGAGAACGAGATTGCAGGCCGCGGCCCTCAGCCTCGCGCGCCCAGGGCGCCCCCGAAGCTGCCGCTCGGGGCGGGCCGGGCCAGGCGGCTGCTGCCTGTTGGGCCTGAGCCGGATCTAGAACCCAAAGCTGACTGTGACCCCAAATAAAAATTTGAAAGACAAAAAATTTATATATCTATGGGCCCAAAATATCAGGTAGAGCTAGATGGGGGGCTTCCCCCCCACCCCCCAGACTGGGAGTTTTTAAGCGTAAGCACAGGTATGGCCACGAAAAACTCAAACTTGAAGTCACTTAAAAACCCAGTTCTGGGCCTCCCCTGGGGGCGCAGGCGATTGAGCACAGCGCTGTGAAGCTGTCTGCAGCCTCTGCAGCGCGGGCTCCATCCCAGCTAGCGGGGAGCTACCCACATGGCACAGCAGCCCTCTCCTGTCTCCCCGCTGCTCCCCTCAGCAGTGTACTTCGTCAGTCTGCCTGTTCTGCTCCCTGCTCTGGCTCTGGTGAATCTTCTGCACCTCTGGCCTGTACCCCAGTGCTTGTATAAATAAATAAATCTTTTTTAAAAAGAGGCAGGAGAGGTGTGCACGCCATATGGTACCCTCACCGGCGGCGGGGTGGGGATCAAAGCGGTGCTGCAGAGGCTGCAGGGAGCTTTGCAGCCCAGCGCTCAACCCCTGTGCCACCGGGAGGCCCTATAAATAAATAAATCTTAAAAAAAAAAACAAAACAGTAAAAGCTTTTCCTGCCCCTTGTCCGGCTGCCCCCTGGCCCCCATCCAGTCCCGGGAGGGGCCAGTGCCATCTGGCATCAGTGGCCTTTAGAACTCGGGGACACTGCACACTCTCTAGGGGAGGCAGCTGGCCACTGGGCCCTTTAAACCCTTTGTCTCCCGTTTGTTAAGAAAACCCCACTGCTGGGCCCTGAGGCTGAGTGGCCCTGCAGGTGAGCCCCAGCTGAAACCCCACAGGCCTGACCAGTCCCGGCCTGGGCAGCGCCCTCTGACCTTTACCCAGCACTGTGTAGGAGGGGTTGTGGGTGAAGGCCCTTTTTCTTGAAGGGGTGACTGCTGGGGGAATATCATTTTCTAACAATGCACTGTCCATTTGTTCAGTGCATTTTAAAGTCTGCCATTTCCCTGAATGCCCTTTTTTTAACCTTTTTTAAAAAGATTTATTTATTTATTTATTTATTTATACAAGAACCGGGGTACAGGCTAGAGGCGCAGGAGGTGAGCGGATTCACCAGGACAGAGTGGGGAACAGAACAGGCAGACTGACCCAAGTACACTGCTGAGGGGAGCAGCCGGGAGACAGGAGAGGTCTGCCGCGCCATGTGGGTAGCTCCCTGGCCAGCCGGGGATGGAACCCGCACTGCAGAAGCTGCGGAGAGCTTCGCAGCGCTGCGCTCAACCCGCTGCGCCACCAGGGAGGCTCCCGGATGCCCTTTTTAATAAATTCCCGGTGGACTTGATTCCCGCCTGCGGGACAGCAGCTGGAGGGGCAGCCCCGGGGCGCGCGCCTGGGCGCTTCCAGGCTCACGCTGAAGGGAACGTAACAAACGGGTCACTCCATGAAGTTCTTCCCGCCCCGCAGTGCGAGGAGCCTGGGGTAGCCGGGCGGGGCCCCGCGCAGCGGCCGCGGTGAGCCCGACCCTCTCGCGCAGACCCACGGCGCGCCGCCCGGTTGCACCCCGACACCCCCGGGCCGCGGCGCCCCCCGTCCCCGCGCGGGGGATTTCAGGGCTACTGAGGAGACCCGAGCCCCGGGGCAACAGGGCGGGGAGGGGTGAGGCGCTGCCCAGCCCTCTCGCCGGCACCGCGGTACCTGCCGGTTCTGTCGCTGAGATGGGCCTCAGGGGGCAGCGATGGCCGCGTGTGCGTCCCCCTAATTTTTGGGAAAGATTTATTTATTCAGGCCAGTGTGAGGGAAGGCGAGAGGCGTCGCCAGAGACGGCGCGGGGAGCGGAGCGGGCAGACGGGCTGCAGCCCGCCGCTGGGGGAGACCGGGGAGTCCGCGCGCCGCGTGGGTCACCTCCCCGGCCGGGGCGCGAACTCGCGCCGCAGTGGCCGGCGGCTGCTTCACCGCGCGGAGACTGAAGCCCCCGCGCCGCCAGGGAGGCCGGCGCCGGCGCTTTTGGGGAGAATCTCAAGAAACGCAGCGACTCAGGAGACTGTCAACAGCAACGCCCCCCGCGCCGCCGGCCCCGCGCTGTGCGCGCTGTTCCCGTCTCCCCCGCGCCCCGCTGACACCCCACCTCGGAGTTGGCCAGGCTTGGGGGCGCCCCTGGGAGCCCCCTCCGCGAAGAGGGGCTGCCCGCCCTGTTTCCTCAGCCCCTGACGCGCCCGCCCCCTCCCTCTTCCCGCCCCCGCCGATGCCGGGGACCGGACCCTCGCGTCTGGCGTGAACCCCCGTCTGCGAGCGCCCCGCGCGCCGCCCCCCCCAGCCCCGCGGCCGCCGGAGGGTCCCGACCCGCGGGTCTGCGCGGAGCTGCGATCCCGAGGCCGGAGTCCCCGAGCCGCGCCCAGAGCCGGGCCCGCCCCGCCCCGGCAAGGCCTCCTCGGGGGACCCCCCCGGCCGCACCCCGAGGCGCAGCAGCTCGCCGCGCGGCCCCGCGGCCCCCAACTCGCTTCTCGCGCGGACGCCCCGCCGCCCGGCCGCGCCCCGCCCGCGGGGGCTGCTTGGCGCCGCCGCCTGTCGCCCCTCGGGCCCTCTCCCCTCAGCCTGCGGGCGCCGGGAGGCTGAGACGGGGTCCCCGGGCCGCCGCCCTCCCCGCGCGCCCCCGGCGCTCGCCCCGCAGACGCGGCCGCCCCCGGACCTCCCCGCACAGGCGCGTGCGGACCCCGCGCGGAGAGCCCGCGGGCCGTCCCGAGGGCGCGGGGAGGTCGGCGCGGGGGAGGTGGGCGCGGGGGGAGGCGGGCGCGGGGAGGCGGGCGCGGGGGAGGCGGGCGCGGGGGGAGGTGGGCGCGGGGGGAGGTGGGCGGGGGGGGGACGGGCGCTGGGGGGGGGACGGGCGCGGGGGGGGACGGGCGCGGGGGGGACGGGCGCTGGGGGGCGGGCGCAGTCGGGGCGGGCGCGGACACGCCGGGTCCCTCCGTGCGCGTGACGCAGACGCGGGCGGGCCCCGGGGGCGGGGCTAGGCGCGGCTCCCGCCCGCTCATTGGCAGCCGTGCTGACGGGCAGGCGGGGGGCGGAGGCGCCGCGGGGGCGGGGCGGGCCCCATGGAAACCGGGGCAAACAGACGGCGGGCGCGGGGGCGCGGGGGCGCGGGGGCGCGGGGGCGCGGGGCGCGGGGGCGCGGGGGCGCGGGGCGCGGGGGCGCGGGGGCGCGGGGGCGCGGGGGGCGCGGGGGCGCGGGGCGCGGGGGCGCGGGGGCGCGGGGGCGCGGGGGCGCGGGGGCGGCGTGAGACCCGCGGGGGCCCGGGGCGGGGCCGTCAGCTGCGGCCTCGCCGCTCGCGTTTGCAGCCGGGAAGGGCGCGCGCCACGCCGCCCGGGTCCGGTGCGGGCTGCGCCTCGGCCGGGGTCCTCCGGCTCTGCGGGGAGACGCTCCCGGCCTGCGCCCCGCGGCCCCTCCGACCCCTGCGGGCGAGGCGGCGGCGGGACGAGCGACGGTCTTTCCAGCCAGACCCCAAAGACCGCCCAGCAGGCTTCGGGCGCCGCGCCCGGGCCCGACCGCGGCTTCTCGGGAGCAACGCCCGCCGCGCCCGGGCCCAGCCTTCCCCGTGCCCGGCCTGCGCGCCCGCGGTGGGGGCCCCGCGCGCCTGCCGGGCTCGGGGCGGGGAGTCCCCGCGGGCGCCCCCAGCCCCACACCTGCGCGCAGGCTCAGCGGGCGCCCCGGCCACCCCCCTCCTGGAGATTCGAGAGTCAGCCGGGGCCGGGGCATTTCGGGGGCTCTCCAAGGGCGTGGGTCGTGTCTTTGCCATCCCTGAGCCCCCAGTGAGCGAACAAGGGAGGCTCCTTAAAGGCGTGAATCATGGAGAGCGACTAGCGTGAAGTCAGGCCGGTTAGTGAAGGCCCCGCCCAGCCTGCAGGGTGGCCCCCAGCGGGGCTGCGGCCGCAGGGCCCCCTCGGGACATCCAAGCGGGCTCCGGCACCGAGGGTGTGTTGTGTGTGAGATGTCACAGACAATGAGGCGCTAAATCCAGAGGTGTTTACTGTACTGAGTATTCAAGGGAGGCGAGATGGGGTGGGGTTCCCCCAATCTGATCCTCCACGGCTCCGGAGTGACTCACTCTTTCTTGGGCTCCAGGGTGGGGCTGGAATCTGTTTCCTGAGTTGGGTCTTGCTCCCCCTGGCCCTTGGCAGGCCCCGTCTCTCCAGACACTAGAGCCACGTTCCTCAGGTAGTTCGTGTTGAAGCAGTTGGTCTGCTCATCCCCGGGGCTCAGGTCGCAGCAGAAGGCAGTGTCATGCCAGGAGTTCCGCCGGGCGCCGCACAGCCCGTCAATGAAGGCTGATTTCTGGTGAAGGAGAGTGGGGCGCAGGGACGGGGAGGGGGGCCGTCCGAGGTCAGGTGTGGGTACTGGTGCCCACAGTCCCCCTCCCTCCGCCCCCTCCTGGGACCCAGCAAGAGGCCAGGCTGCCTTGCAGGGCGAGGCTCCTGGGGATGGGCAGATGTGCACATCGGCAAGTGCAAGTGCCAGACACTTAATGCTCAGGGAGGCAGAATAGAGCAGATCAGGCCGGAGTGAGGACTTCCGGACCCGAGAAAAAGGGTCTCCCCGGGTAGTCGCCGTTCCTGCGGGCCGCTCTGAGGTACTAAAGGGCAAGTGGCCTGCACCCGCCCTTGCTGCGCCCTGGATTTCCCGGAGAGGAGCGCGGCTCACCTCGTCCTCCGCGCAGCAGGTCTGCTCGGCCAGCGGCAGGTCGCAGCAGCGGACAGTCATGTTGTGGATGAGCCCAGGAATCTGCTTGCTGCGGGGCGGGAGAGGGCGGGGGTCAGGGTCTCGGCACCCAGACATCGGCGGGCTTGGAGACGAGTCTGCCCTTCCCGAGAGCGCCCCGAGGTGCCCCAGAAGGAGGCCTGGGGCGGGAAAAGAGCCGGGGAAACAGCGGGCAAGACTCACTGCTTGCTGAGGACCTTCCGATTCCCGCAGAGCTGGTTCATGAGGCTGGGGGTGACTCGACTGAGGTCAAGGGTCAAGATGTCCCGGTCATAGTTGGGGTAGGGCGCCCGGCGGGCGAAACACTCGTCCCGGGCAGGGCTGGGAGGGTGCTGGCAGCATGAGTGGTGGTGGGTCTTCACGGCCTGCTCGCGGTCGCAGTATCCGTCGAGGGCGTCCTCCCACTGCAGGCGGGGGGGGGGGGGGGGGAATCAGAAGCCTGGCCTTGGCCCAGCTCTCCCGAACCTCGGGCTTCCCTGTTGCCCCTGGGAGGAGGGACTTCCCGCCCGGTGCCCACGGGAAGGGCAAAGAACCAGCAGGAGGCAGCTGTGGGGGTGGGGCGGGGCACGGGTGGGGTGCGGGTGGGGCGCAGGTGGGCACGGCTGGGTTTGGAGGAGGTGAGCTGCAACGAGAGGGCGGGGGAGGCCAGAGCTGGGCAGCGGGCGGGCGGCAGCCGGCGCGCTGGGGCCGTGGGTGGGCGAGGCCAGGCGTGCAGGATGGAGGCTGGAGGCGCACAGACTCAGCCGACGAACACAACGGGCGGACTGCGGGCCACATGCTGGCAGCGGGGGCGCAGGGACGGATGGGCTGGCAGGATCGGAGGTCGCGGGCGGGCAGGCGGGCTCTCGGGGAGGCTGGGCGCCCACTTACGGCCTTCCAGATGCAGGTGTGGTTGCCCCCCTGCCGGCAGCAGCGCTGGAACTCGCCCTCCAGCCGGGTCAGCGCCTGCAGCTGCCTGTGGACCGGGCCGGAGCCCGGGAGGTGGCGCGGCACAGCGCGGAGGCGCCTCAGGCGGCAGATGTTCCTGATGTTGTCCAGAGTGGGCGCGCCAGGGGGGAAGGGCAGCTCGAGGCCCGAGGAGATGCCGGGCTGGTGGCTGGGGCAGGCCCGGAGCGGGTAGTGTGGCTGGGGGGCTGCCGTTTGGAAGCAGGAGAATCGAGCCTCCCCCTGCCGTTTGCAGCACCAGTGGGGCCGCGTCTTGACCGAGAACTCGGCCTCACAGAACCGGGTGACCGCGTCCTCCCACTAGAGCAAGAGGGGTGCGTCAGCCCAGCTGCCCACTGTCCACGCGCCTGTCTTCCGCCCAGCGCCAGGAGGGACCCTGGGCAGGTAGATGAGAAAGAAGCAGAGGCGTCCTCTTCCCCTGGCTCCCCGGGGAGGCCAGGCCTGAGGTCCTGACGCCAGGTGCGGGCCTGTCGGTCTTCAGAGACGCATGCGGGCGCGCGCGCACACCCGCGCACACACACACGCGCGTGCACACACACACGCACACACACACTCTCTGGCCGGAAGGGACGGGCACCCCGGGGCCGAGGGCCCAACTCTTACCACGAGTTGTGCACAGTCCAGGCGGTTTGCTTGGTTCCGGCAGCGGCAGCAGCGGGAGTAGCCGGTCTCCAGCAGGTTGAGCGTCTCTCCCTGGCGGCTGAGGTGGGAGTGGCCCGTCTGCGGCAGGTTCCAGGGGCCGTACACTATGTGCTGCCGGTCGGGAAGGCAGATCTGGTCCAGGTTGTCCTGGGAAGGCCGGCCCGGGGGAAAGCCGTCCAGGCGGTGGCCCCAGCCCCCGTGGGGCCGGCCGTGCAGGCAGTGATGGGCCGGACTCCCAGACTCGGGCTCTGGGAGCTGGTCATCCACGAAGCCGGCTGTTCCTTCTAGAGTGGGAAGCAGGACCGCGTGAAAGAAGGGACAGGCCGAGAGAGCTGGGGGGCTGCGGGAAGCTGGGCTTCGGGGAAGGGACTGGGCCGGTGAGGGGGGCAGAAAGATTAATTTGTGGCCCTGAAAAAAGTGCTGATCATTTGCGGCTCTTCCCTTCAAGACTGACGGAGAGGACGAGAGACTGAGGCGTGAGAGCTGCCCCCTGCCAGCGTCCCCGAGCCGGGCCTGCTTCCCAGGCTCAGGCTTCTGCTTCCCTCCCGGGGTCGTGGGCGCGCACAGGGGGGCCGCGCGGTCACTCACCCCTCTGCTTGGACGGGAAGGCCATCTCCTTCTGGTGGGGGAAAGGCGGGTCCACTGGGGTAGAGGGAGACATGTGAGAAGACCGAGCGGGGCGAGCACCCCTAGGGGGCCTGGCCAGTTTCCAGTCGCGAGAGGAAAGCAGTAGCCATGTCAGAGGAGCTACTTTTATGCCATGTAATCTCCTGACTTTATAAGAGACACCATTTCCCCCAACTTTACCCGCGACGCTACGGCCTGGAGCGGGGAGCAGGGGAGGCACTTACACTCCTTCTGTCTGACAGGAACCTGGAGAGGGGGCAGCCCTTCATGCTGGGGGATGGCGTCCGAAGGGCGAGCGGGGTCGGCTGCAGAGTGGCGCGGGCAAGAGAAGCAAAGGTCAGAGGTCAGACGGGAGCTGTGCCAGCAGCTGGCCTCGCGCGGAGCCGGGCGGGTGGCACTCACCTCCCCTTTCCAGGGGCAGCTGGGGCGGGGCCTGCCTCTCCTCTTGCAGAGGGATGTCGAGAGCCAGAGCCGGGAGAGGCTGCACTGCAGGGGGGCAGTGTGTGAGGAGCCGCCTTCCCCCGGGCCTCCCACCTCCCCTCTGAGGACAGGGGCTCCACCAGAGGCAACCTGGGGGTAACCGAGGTGGGCAGGTGCACTAACCTTCACTCTGTGCCTCAAACTCGGGTGCAGGCTGCGGGGCATCGGGGTGATCCATGGGGAAGGCCTGGGTCAGGGGGGGGGCGGGGGGGCGGCATAGCCAACTAGAGGCCAGAGGAGATACTCAGAGCCTGCGGTTCCTCTGGGACCCCCAAAGCCATTCCACTCCCCGCCGCCCTCACCTTTTTCAAAGGGCTGGTTATCCCCTTGAAAGGGCCCCAGCTGAGCCTCCTCGGGAGCCTTGGGACCTAGGAGGAAGGCGGAATCAGGGCTGGCGCGGGGGGCCCCTTCCTGGCCATGGACACGGGGCTGGGGAGCACCGGCCGTCAGCAGAAAGGACAGCAGGTGCCCCTCTGAGTGGCTTCTGCCCGGCCCCCGCCCAGTCGCCCGGCTCCCCCACCCGGAACACACACAGAGACGTCAGTGCTGGGTGCTGAGCCTGGACCCTCGTCATGGCCGCACCTCTCCTGCCCTGAGGCCTCGGGTCTCCCAGGCCTGGCAGGGAGCGTGGTATGTGGGGCTGGGGCTGGGCGGGAAGGTGCTTCCCAGGACGGGCCCTCCTCTCCCAGCCTCTCAGCTCGGAAGCTTCAGAAGAAAGTGCACCTGAGCTGCGGGAGCGCCACCGGCCACCCCCCCCTCTGCTGCAGGTGTTTTGAGCACCTTGGGCTTTCAGAGCAGGAGCCGCCCGCAGGCTGAGGCGGCCCTTCAGCTAGTCCTGGATCCTCCTCAGTGGGGTCTGAATCTACTACCTGGGGGGCCGGGGATGATTCAGGATTCCGTGTCAGTCTAGAGCCCCAGGAAAGGAGTCGCCCCAGGGGATAACTGGCGGGGTTGGCAGACTTTGTGGCTGGCCCCACAGGTCCCTCAGCTGCGCTCAGCTCCGGAGCCTCAGCTGCAGAGCGCGCGCTAGGTCTAGGGTGGCTGCGAGCGGCCCCAGAGGATGGACACCTCAACTCCTCCCCTAACCAGGCAGGGAGTCAGTCACGGGTCAGCAAAACAGTTCTGAGCAGCTCCGGGGCGGCGGGGGGGGCCTCCTTATAGGCCCCACATACAGGTGGTCTTCAGGCAGAGGCCCCCACCTGTGAAGCCACCCCTCCCCCCCATTGTTGTCCATCTGACTGCAATTTTGTGGTCTTGGCGGCATCTCCAGGAACCCCTCTCCTCTGTGCCCTGTGCCCTCTGGTTAAAGGCGCCCACGCCCCGGGTCCTCTGGGGCCTGCTCAGAAACAGGCCGAATGGAGAATCGCCCTGCGGGTGACAGCCTCTCGGGGTGGCTGACCAGGCCCGCGCCCACGCTGGCCAGAACCCCTTCCCCAGTGCCGACCCCCACCTGACTCACCGCCCTCGGGGGTTGCCGAGACAATAGCCAAGCAGGCCAGGAGCACAGCTGCTCTGGGCACGGCCCCCATCGCAGGGCGAGGGCTGGTCAGTGGCGGCTCGGAGCGCGTCCTCGGGCAGAGGGCTGGGCTGCTGGAGCCTGCTTCTCCGGTTGCTGCTGCTGTTGTGCAGCTCAGGGCCGGTTCCTGCTCCGTCTTTATACGGCCATCTCCCGCCCTCCTCAGCTTCCTGCCTTGCCGTGACTCAGTCCCAGCTGCTCCTCCTCTGGCAGCAGCTCCTCCCAAACTCACCCTGAATCCTCCTGAGAGCTCCGAGAGGAATGTGATGGATGGCAGGAGAGCATTCCCGACGCCGAGAGAAAGTGGTTCTGAGGGGGGAGGAAGGAGATGCCAGAGACCTTGTTATGTACCTTGATTTCCCTGCCTTGTGTGGAGGAGGGATCTGACACCTGCTGCGCTGGGCTGAGGAGACCCGAGGAGCTGACAGCGGGAAAGGACAGCGCCCCAGGGAGCAACCCAGCCCGGAGAGGCCTGGGCTGTCCCCGGCGATGCCCCCAACTCCCTGGGAAAAGAGGAGACAGTCCAAGCTCCCTGTGTCGGCCATCCCCGAGCCCCAGGAGTCAGAGATAAAGACACGCACTCAGCAGCTTCAAGTTTATTATCTCCAGTGCCCCTCCCTCACGTCTAACAGCCACAGCCCCCCAGACCGAGTCTCTCTGCGGAGAGGAGATTCAGGCCTCCACTGAGCTCTGAGGGTCCAGGGCCCGCCAGTGAGGCTGGGCTCTCCCACGAGAAGGGGCTGGCGGCGGCTCCTCAGGTCTCACCACAGCCCCACACACACTCAGAAAAGCTCCTCAGCATTTGGCACCCGGGTGTCCTGCAGCTCCAGCAGCCGCCGCACGGCCTCTGCCAGGCCCCACTCCCCCAGGCGGCGATTGTCTCGAGACCGAATGTTCACCGTCCTCTCGCTCTGCTCCTTCTGGCCAACCACTGCGGGAAGACGGGAGGTGTGGGGCTCTCCGGACCAAGTTACCCAGAGACATCGCCTTGTGCAGACGTTTGAGACCAACTGTCCAGGAAGGATGAGCGCAGAGCCCGCTGTGGCTCAGGGAAGGGCTGTGTTTAGCCGCCTCCTGTTCCCCAGTGCCCTGCTCATCCTGAGGAGATAAGGACGTGCTCCAGACGCTCCCTCCTGCCTATCACTCCCAGGCAGGCGCCCAGGGTCAAGGGCAGTAGGGCCAGCTGGAGAGACGAACAGATGGGCGAGCAGAGAAACGTGCGCGTGCGCAGACACTAGAGCGAGGGGAGGCTGGCCACAGGGGTAGGAGGCGCAAGTGTGCGTGGCCAGGGGTGTACAGCCAGGTCATCCGGCTGAGGAGCCTCTGCTCTGAGCCCCGAGACAGAGCCGTGAACCCCGGGAAATGGAAAAGGGAGGTCAGGCGGGGCTCCCCTCACGGCGCAGCGCTGACTCCATCTAGGACTAGAATAAACAAAGCTACTAATGAATGCCCATTAACCCTTCCTGTCCCTTTCCCGCTGATGTTCCCTGGGCTAATGAACCTAACAGATTGCAGCAGCTGGGGCAGGGGAAGGGCAGGCGAAGGCTACAGGAACTCGGGCCCCAGATGGCTCAGGCATGCCGAGCCCCGGCCCCTGCCCAGCTCAGGTATGAGACCCAATGACTCAAACACGCAGACGACCTGAATTACTGGACACAGGAGTGTGGAGGGAGGCGGGTGAGTGTGGGCTCCGCGGGGCTGCGCTAATCCTGTCACTTACCAAACTGAAAGTTGTAGTGGGTGACCTGGGCCCGGCGGACTCTGCGGCTGAGGGTGAGTCCAGAGTCGGCGTCCAGGTCCGCGGCCAGTCCCGCGGCCTTCAGGCTCTGCCATACCTGGGCCAGGGGTTGGCGACAGGCACTTCGCTTAAGGGAAGGCTGAGGAGCCGCAAGTCCGAGACCAATCTTCCCAAGGCCCCTGCTGGCCCCCGGGCCCTCAGGACACCCCTCCTCAGACTCTCTAACAGGCTCCTGCAGCTTCTCTGCTGCCTCCTAGAGTGGAGCCCAAGGGTGCCCGGGACGCCGCCTGCTTCCAGCCCTGCTCTACCAGCCGGCGGCTCCTGCAGCCGCATCTCAGCCCTCTCCAGAGCGGGAAGCCCCACTTCTGCCCAGTCCTCTAATGTGCCCAGTGCTGCTGCCAGCATCTGGCATCTGTTCACTTGTTTTGCCCGCACCCAGCAGCCGGGCGGCGGCCACGCGAACCCAATGTGGCTCCAGTGCTGGGGGACCTTTCCATGACCCGTGGGGCCTCTTCCTAGCAGGCCCCCAGCCCCGGCCCCCCCATTTGGCCTGTTCCGGGCCCTGCTTTTCCCCCCACACCTCACCTCCCTGGCGTATCCCTCTTGCTCGGTGCCCACTGGGATGACCGCCACCTGGAACGGGGACAGCCACAGGGGCCTGCGTGGGAAAGAGGAGGGAGGACAAGCGGCGTCTGGCTCTGACCCCACAGCGGCGCGGGGAGCAGGCAGGACCCAGGGCCAGAGGGCTCACCATCTCCCCCCGCAGCTCTCGGCCAGCACGCCCAGCATCCTCTCCACGGAGCCCAGCACCGCTCGGTGAATGAGGACCGGCCGCTCTGGGGCCCCCGCCTGCCTTGGAGAGAAAGAGGGGGTGGAGAGGAAGCGTCAGGAACTATGTACCCTGACTGCCGTCCGCTTCTCAAGAAATATTCTCCCCGGCTGGGAGGGGCGGGAAACTGGGGTGGTGCTTAGGCTCAAAGGGGGCCGGAACGCTGGGCTCCAGCTAGGGCACGGGCGCGGGGTCGCGGGCCGTACCCCTTGTACTGGAGGTCAAACCTCAGGGGCAGCTGGAAGTCGAGCTGGACTGTCCCGCACTGATGGGGCCGACCCAGGGCGTCATGCAGATGCACGTCAATCTGGAGGGCACAGAGCAGGGGCGTGAGAACCAGGACCAGAGCCATCTGTGTCCCCCCCGCCGTGTCACGCTCTACTGTGTCCCCGCGACGCTGCAGGGGTGTCTGCCACGTGGCAGGGCAGCACACAGACGGCCCGTCCACACCCTGACCTCTCACCTCCTGAGCTGCTCCTTCCGAGGCCTGCCCCAGGCCCGCAGCCCGGCCCCGCCCGCCCGTCACCGCCCGCACCAGCCTGTCAGACACCTGCTCTGACTACAGCTCCCGGCCCAGGGGCCAATCACTCCCAGAAATGGCTCTCTGACCCTTTTTGCCACCCAGGGCCCCACCTTGTTTCTTTCCCCACATGTAACCCATGTATCATTGTTCTTCTGTCACGTCCACGTGGCAAACCCTCCCGGGCAGCACGTCGCCTCCTCGGCCCTGCGGCAGGCTGCTCCTGTCATCACCGGGCACTCGGCGCAAATCAGAGCTGACGCCCCGGGGGAGTCACGTTCCGAAGCTCCACTGGACCCTCGCTGCTGCCAGCTTTCCCGTGGCGGCCCTGACCGGCGTGGCCCGTCCCCCGCTCTCCACATCCCCCCTCAGCGATGACCCTGGCACTGCCTCACGGAGCACTCAGGCTAGTACCCTCAGGGGAGCACGTCTCCACTTGCTACCTCACTGTACCCCCTTGCACCCCGGGGGTACTCTTCCTGCCCCCACAAGGCGGGCCTTTCCGTGCTGGCCCTCAATCCCAGGAGTCTACAACCCAACTCCTCCCTGATCCCGACAGCCCTTCCGCCACAGCATGTACACCCCCAGCACTCTCTGGCCCGCTTGTGGCCACGCAGGAGCCGCGCTTGTTGCCCTTTCTCTTTTTCCTAGTAAGCTTGTCCTTTTAAAATGAAAACTAAACAGCCCGAGTCTCTCCCTTCATCAGAACCTCTCTGACTCCCCAGGCACCTTGAGCCACTCTACTCTCCTTTGCCTTCCTGAGAGAGAGGGTTCTTGAAAGAGCAATGGATGTCCACTTGATCCTGAGTCCGCTCCCGGTTCCAAGAGTGGCCCCTCAAATCCTAACAGCTTTGTATTCATGCCAGACACTTCTCCCTCCACCCCCCCTTCCAGCCTCTGCCTAAACAGTGCCCCCCCCCCCTTATGCTACCACGTCGCCCTTCGGACTGAAAGAGACACCCTAGCAGGGCCCGTCAGGCTCCCCAGCCCTAGACTGGGTCACGGGGGATGGGAAACAGACGACACTCCTTTGTATCCGGCACAGGCTCAGAGTGTTCCTTCATACCTACTAGATAGCAAAGCTCTAGCTAGGGCCCCCACTTACTTTAGGCCCATAGAAGGCACCCTCTCCCGGGTTGAGGTCCCAGGGTTCTCCGAATTCTTCCAGGGCCCGCTGAAGCACCTTTGAAGGAAAGAGGCGAGAAGACGCGTCACCTTAGACTTCACGAGCAAACCAGCGTTGCAGCGCGGGCCTCCAGCCCAGACCCCGCTTCCGCCTTCTTCCTCCCCTCCCACCAGAGTGAACCCTCTGCCTCCGCCCCTCACCACCCGCTCACCTGCTCAGCTTGGTCCCAAAGGCGAGGCTCTCCCAGGAAGCCAGATGGCCGGGTGGACAGTGCCAGGCGGAAGGAGAAGCCAAGGACAGCGTAGACAGAGCGGAGGAAATCGAGACAGTCCCGGATCTCCGCTTCCAGCTGGGGGCCGGAAAGGAGGCGGGTGAGCCGCATGCTCGCTAGGGCGCTGGGCTCACCGGGCTCGAGGCAAACGCACAGAGGCAGGTTGGGAAGAGAATGTAACCGAACATATGGAAGGCAACTGAGGACCAGAAATAGTGGGGGTTCACAGGGAGAACAAAAGGTGGTTTAGAAATGCGTTGGGGAGCCACCTGGTCCAGGGCACAGAAGATGTGTGCGTCGTCCTGCTGGAAGCACCGCAGCCGGGTCAGGCCCCCCAGACTGCCTGAGGCCTCAGCCCGATGCAGGGCCCCGAAGTCTGCCAGTCGCAGGGGCAGCTCTCGCCAGGATCTGGGCCGGTGGGCGAACATCAGGCTGAGGTTGGGGTGGGGAGGGGTCAGGGCCACGGGGAAAGCTGGCCCCGAAGCCCGTGCCTCCACCCCTCGTGCCTGCTCCCTCCTCCGCACACCAGAGGACACCCTGGTCAGCCTGGGCATCCCTGTCAAGCCTGCTGCTCACACCGGAGCCCTGCCTAGCTCAAAGGATTCTCTCAGGAACGACACTAGCATCTCTCCCGCGCCTGTCCTGTGGCCCGGAAAGAGGAACCTCAGACAGTTACTCCAAATCCTTGCTGTTGCACGTAAAGAGACAGGGACCTAGAAGCTCGGTGACTCAGGCAGAGGCCAGACTCAAGACTCAACTCAGGAGGCCCCAGGGCCTTCCCAGGTCTATTACTCAGCTTTAGCAAGTGGCTGCCGAGCCCAGCCCAGCCCCGGGAGGACCCAGCTTCCGGGCTCCAGCTCACCAGTGCGCAGGGCAGTTCATGGGCTTGAGGGCCAGTGTGTCTGTGGGCTGGCCAGCAGGCCTGTCAGAGCCCGGGGGTTGCAGGGCAAACATGTCTTCCTGGTAGTGCGCCCAGTGCCCCGACAGTTCCCACAGTTTTGTGGAAAACAGCGTGGGGGTTTTCACCTCTGAGAAGCCACGGCGGGTGTACTCGGCCTAGAGAGAAGGGTACAGGTGTGCGAGGTCAGGGCGGCCGGGGCAGCATCTGTGACTCTCTGGCCCCCTGGTCACGCGATCTCAACCCTCTCTGCGTCCCCCACCGCAGGCCCCTGATACAGGCCGTCAGCACTTTACCACGTCTACGTCCAAGCTTCTACCCGTCCTTTCAACGCCTGGCTCCTGCTCGGCCCTTGGCCCCTCCTGGGTCCTCCCCCCTTACCCTGATGAAAGCCACCAGTGCGTTATACACTCTTGTCCCGCGAGGCAGGAAGAAGCAGCTCCCAGGGCTCAGTTCATGGAAGAAGAAGAGCTCCTGCTCCTGGGGTGGGGATGGCCATGGTTACCTCCAGGGGGAGGGGACTCTGGAGCCCAGAAGAAACAACTGCCAGCACTACGAAAGCCTCCTGGACCCTGGCTGGGGCTCAGGCCCCCTCCCCTCTCCTCAATCCTTACCCCCCAGCCCTCACTCCCCGGCCTCTGCACCTTCCCAATGCGCCGGTGGTCCCGTAACTCTGCTTCCTCCCTCTGTTCTTCCCAGGCCCTCAGCTCCTCTGCCGTGGGGAAGGAAATCCCCGCCACTCTCTGCAGCGGCTCTGGGCTGCCTGAAGACCTCCATAAGGCTGACGAATTCTGCCGCGGGACAGAGGCAAAGTGAAGGAGGGGAGCAGGGAAGCGCCCCCCCATCCGCACATGAGACCCTGTCAGCAGAACAGCTGTGTCACTGACCCTGGCCCAACTCACCCCCTCGCTCCTTCCGGTCACGAGTAGGATGGCCACCGAACCCTGCAGAGCCCTGCCGCTACAGCTCGGAGGTGCCTGACTCTTGACTCTCATGTCCCCCTCAAGCCTAAACGCATCCTGCACTTCTCCCTCCCAGTACCACTGCCCCACGGGCAGCCTCTACTTAGTTCTGTCCCCCTCTCATCAGTGGGTGCTCAGGGCAGTAACCCAAAGGTCAGTCTATGCCCCTCCTACCAGTCTCCACACCAGAGCTGCTCCTGCCCCCGCCCTTCCCCTCAACAGCAGCACCACCGAGACGGCCTGTGGTTACAGCGCTGTTGTCATGTCCTCGCCCCGCTCCCGCGCCCGCGAGGCCTATCTCTACACTGCGGATTCACTGGTCAGACGGGAGTTAGCAGCATTAATTTTTTTATATTTAAAATGTATCACGCAGCGGTGGAGCACTGGGTTGCGAAGCTGCCCGCGGCCTCTGCAGCGCCGGTTCGATCCCCGGCTGCTCCCCGGCCACCGGAGGAGGGTCCCACATGGCGCGCAGACCTCTCCTGCCGCCCGCTGCTCCCCTCAGCAGTGTCCTTCGGTCCTTCTGCCTGCTCTGCTCCCCGCTCTGGCTCTGGTGAATTCTCTCACCCTCCCGCGCTTCTGACTGTACCCAGTGCATGTATAAATAAATAAATAAATAAATCTTTAAAAAAAAAAAAAAAAAAAAAAAAATGTATCACGCCACACTCTCTGGTGGGAACAGGTGATGGGGCTGACCTAAGGCCGCACACGTCACTGGCAGCAGAGCCAGGACTGGGCGCTGACGGCGTGGCTTTCAGGCCAGGGCTTTTTAGTCTACGTAACTGCCCCCCGCTCCTCCCTGCGCCCACTCCCACCTAATAACCCATCTTGCCTGGGAACAGTATTTTCACAAAAGATGTGCCCGTGACTTAGGATATTCTCCCCAAGCCTGTCGCGGGGCGTTCTACACCTCCTCTCGCCACAGTCGCCTTCGCTGTGGGGTCCTGTCCAGCCTGTTCACACCCCACTTCATGTCCCTTAGCACTGATGTCTGACTCTGGAATTTGAATTGGCTTCTGGGCCCCGGCAGGGTGTCCAGTATCTGCCACCACACTGGGAGTTTCTAGAAGGCAGGGACTAAGCATCTTTCTCCTTCTGGATCTCCCCATTAGCAATCAGCATAAAAAAGGGGCCGAGAGAGAAGACCATCTCCCATTCCCATTCCCTCCCAGGAAACCAGGCTGACTCGACCCCTGCCCGCCCCACTGACTGTTAATAGCTTCAGTCCTCCGATCTGTCCAGTATGGCGAAGGTGGGGGCCCCGGCAAAGATCAACCGACATGCCACACCTACGAGAGAGAAGGGGCCGATTATGGTTTCCAAAGTAATGAGCTACCTTTCTCCCTCTCCTCCTCTCCCGCAGACGAGAAGTGGTGAGGGACTGTTCTAGAGAGAGCAGTGGGGGATAAAAATCAATTCCTGTTCCCATGTTTTTTCTCTGGAGCAACACAAATCACCCTCTTCCTCCCTCCTCAGCCCCAGCCCCCACGCAGCCCCACCATGCCCTGGCTCCCTGGTCCTGACAGGGCTCACCCATATACTGTGGCTGCCGGACCTGTCACCTTCTCCTCGATCACGCGGAGCTTGAAGGGGTTATCCTGGAACAAGGGAGGAGTGAAGAGAAGTCTTTATTTCCACCAAGATATGCTGGGAGAGAGCCATCTCTTCCCTCCAGCCTTTGGATCTTCCTCAGAAACCTGTGCGTCTCCACCCCACCTTGAAGAGTTGACAAAGCTGCTCCCGGGAAACCTCTAGCCTCCGGAAGGGTTGAGCAGCAGCTGCAAATTCCTGGCAGAGGCGCTCCAAGACAGGCAGCTCCGAGCCCCGGACTGTCCTGGAAGATGGCAGCTGTGGGTTTTATTGTCTGAGAAGCATCAACTGGGTGACACACTTATTGGCTAAGGGGTAAAGTCCTGCTCTCTAGAAACATTTAGAATTATTGGAAAAGACTAACTAAAAGAACACGTAAGTAGGAAATTGGGTACAAAGCTGGAACAAAAGCTCTATGTGAAATTAAAAGTTCAGTGCAGATAATCTGGATGGACAAAATCAAGCAATATGGACGGATGAAGCAAAGATCGAGGAATTCATAAAGGCAAGAGAAAATAAATTCCAAGCAGAATTCGAAAGAGGAAAGGCATGGACTAGTGGATGTCACAGTTAACTCAAGGGGTCCTCCCCTAGCTTTTCCCTCCAAATTGAAGACCTCAAGCCTGAGGTCTCAGAAACCATCCCAATAATGTTAGAAGCTATTAAAACTTTTAAGATTCCTAAGTTACATTTATAAGATTTATGCCCTATGTGTACAGCTCGGCGACGATGGATGGTTCTGCATTGCATAACTGAAATTTGCTAAGAGACATCTTAATTGTTCTCATCTCCTTCTCTCCAAATGCAAGGTGACAGATATGCTGTACCTCTCAACTGTGGGAATCCTTTCACGATATATACGTGCATACTATCAGTTTGGATGCTTTAAATATATTACTATTTTATGTCAATTATACTTCAAAACAGTTGAAAATAAATCTGGTGAAATCTCTAAAAAACAAACTACCCCAGTATCACTCTCCCTCCTTGAACTACTCACCGCTGCTTTTCCAGGAAGAAGTCATGGTAGAAGCCACACTCTGTACTGGGACCTCGGCAGAGGATAGCACCTAGTTGGTGTTCAGCTGCTGCCCCCAGGACATGGGCGCTGGAGTGCCAGAACACCTGGTTCACAAGAGCAGAGTTCTTGACTTCAAACTTTCTCCTTTAACCACTAGTTCTCTGATCCTCTCCTCAGAGAAGATGGTGTGAAACCAGACTGGCTCACCTAGAAATTACTACAAAATGGGGAATCCGACCTTGAGGGTGACTATTAAAAATTGAATAGAAAAGAAGGCCAGTAACCTTCCTTTTAGTGCACCGAAGAGATTATCCGCCAGCCCAACTCAGTCTTCTTGGCCCTAGAGGACTGAGTAAGCGGCCAGTTTTCTTTTGCTGTAACTGTAACATTTTCTAGGGCTTCAGAATTAACTACTTTCTTAAGACAGTGGTTCCCGGGCCTCCCTGGTGGCACGGGGGGTTGGGATACAGCCTATGAAGCTGTCCGCAGCCTCTGCAATACGAGTTTGATCCCCGGCCAGCCAGGGAGTGGCCCACATAACGCAGCAGACCTCTCCTGTCTCGCCCGCTGCTCCCCTCAGGAGTGTATTTCGTCAGTCTGCCTGTTCTGTTCCCCACTCTGTCTCTGATGAGTCCTCTCAGCCCCCCCCCACCATGCCTCTGGCCTGTGCCCCAGCTCTTGCATGCATAAATAAATAAATCTTAAAAAAAAAAAAAAAAAAAAGACAGTGGTTCCCAAGGCCTGTTACATCTTTCAGTCTTTATTTTTTTTCTGTCCCAGGAATCTAGTATGATGCAACCACTCCTCTAGGTTTGGTCACCAGTTGTCCCATGGAGACATGGGAACTCCATTTTCCTCCATTGCATCCGAATAATTACCAAGCTAATATGCTTAAGACAAAGTGGGGAGGAGGTAGTTTGTGTGCTCAGTTGTGGAAGCCATGCTAGAATACACCCTATGGAGGACTTATAATATTGTCTCAAAGTTGAGGGCGCTGGCTTTCTCTCCCTTTCTGGTGTTCAAGATGTTGAAGTGATGTAGAGGGTCCGCTGGTGCGAAATTGCTAATTTCCTTGGGTTGTCCACTAGGAGCCATGATCAACTATGATGAGCACACAGGAGCAAAAAGTCTGTACATCCCCTCTGTGAAGGGGATCAAGGGACAAGCGGACAGATCTCTGCTGCTGGTGTGGGCATCACAGTGATGACCGGTGAAGAAGGCAAACCAGAACTCAGAAAGAAGGAACGTCCAGTAGTGGTCACATGAAAAGGAAAGTCATCTTGGAGAAAAGATGCAGGTTTCTTTACCCTGAAGATAGTGCAGGGGCCACAGTGAATGGTACATCCAAGAGGAAAGTTTCTGTCATCACTGCACCAGTCGAAAGGAGTGTGCAGGTCTGTGACTCAGAAATGCACTCAATGCTGCCCACACTGCATGACTGCTTGGTGTCATTTGTGAAAAAAGAACCCACTGAAATTATCTGCCCACCAAAAAGAGGTGAGGGGACTAGTCTAGCATATTATCCTTTTTTTTTTTTTTAAGAATTATTTCTTTATTGCAAGATTTTAATTTTATTTATTTCCGCATAGAAGAACTGGGATGTAGGCCAGAAGTGCAGGGGTTAAGAGGATTCACCAGAGGCAGAGCGGGGAGCAGACCAGTGGGTCTACTGAAATACACTGCTGAGGGGAGCAGTGGGCGAGACAGATGTCTGTGGGTCAGCTCTGGGGCTGGGGATCAAACTCAGGATGGATCAAGTCTTATGGTGGTAGCACTGAGACTTAACCCCTAGGCCACCAGGGAGTCCTTGTCCTTCTTCTTTCAAGTTAATACCTGTCCTTTTCAGATACAGGCTAAGTAAAAACTCATTGTAAGTTTCTGGTTTAGCCAGAATAAGCAAAACAAGCTATCTGTGGTAGGTCTCCCTCCCAACTACAAATGGAGAAACTACTGCAAAGGAAATGTTAGAAATGGCTGCTTAAATCTCTCATAGTTTAGTAGCTAATGTATTCCTCTGAAAGAAGAAACTTACTGCTTTCCCCTCTGCAGAAGCAAAAGTCAGAAACCTGAGGTCACAGTCTGTCTCCAGGGGCCGCTCCAGATCATAGGGTTCTCCATTCACTTGAGCCACCACTGCAGTATCTGCCAGTGTTGAACTTCAGCAATGGGGGTGGGGTTGGGAGAAAAAGAGGGTTACCAACCAGAGGGGGTGAAAGGGACCCATTTCTTAGCAAGTGTACACTTGCAAAGGGGAGATGTGTTATCAAAGCAACAGAGCCTGTTACTTTGCCTGACGGATAATGGATGTGCAGAGACTCTAACACTAATGCAAAAAGAAAAATCCTCAGGAAAGGCCCTTGATGGGGGTGGGGCTGCAGCACGCACAGCTTTCTTTCCCCACTCAGGTCCAAAGGAAGCAAAGGTGCAAGAGCAGACCGGGGACCTGAGAACAGGCCTAGTACCTGATCTGCTGGGCTATTTGGTAAGGGGTTGTGTTCCACGCCACAGCGTCCACTTGCTGGCCTCCGGGAAGTGATATCTTAATAGACCGGCGCTCCTTCTGGGCCCTGCGGGCTAACCTCTTCACCTGGGCGGCCCAGAGCTCCTCGAAGAGGCCAAGCCGCTCTGCCAACCAGTGCGGAAGGGTCGGCACAGCTGCCTGGAGGGAAACATGTCAGGAATAACGCAATTCCCACCCTTCCACTGGTGACTGGGCAGGTGGCCTTGCTCCTAACCCCTGGCTCTTGGGGGGGACCGTGACAAGGGCCCGAGGGGGGGCTCGCTCGTCCCAGCAAAAAGATGGCGTGAGGGAGAGGGCTGGGCAGGTGCGCCTGGGGCGTCGGCGAGGGGTCAGGCTGGGTGGAGAGCCTCCATCTTGGCCTTGGGCTGCGCCCGATGCGGCTCGGAACTTTAGGGCCCCTCACGCACCGTGTGCACCCCGCAGGCTCGTAACCCTGGGAGCCGGAGCCGCCGCCACCTCGGATACAGCCCCATGTTTCCTCAGGCCCGGCACACAGCCGCCAGTTACCGCCGCCTCTCCTCCGCCAGATCCCTCATTGGCTCCTTGCCTAACAATACCCAAGCCTATTGGTTAGAACCGCTGCCACTCAAGTCTGGCACCGCCTCCAGGAACTCCAGAGAGGTACCCCCCACACAGCAAGAGCGGCGGTGCCGGAGGTTCCGCCTGACCGGAAGACCTAAGCTGTTACACCGCCGCGCTCCAGCCCCGCTGAGTTTCAGCAGAAAAGCGATCAGGGATTTTGCGGCTCTGCGGACCGGCCAGGACAGCTCTTGAGAGAGAGGGCAGGAGAAAAGCGGAGGGGAAAGGCAGTTAGCTGTTTCTTTTCTAACCAAAGAAGTCTTTCACAGCATCTCCACTAGCAGGCAGGAACCAGTTCAGAGCACAGACTTTGGAACCAGCAGATTTAGGGTAAATCCCGGATCTGCTGGGCACTGTGTGATTTCAGATTTCTTCTCAGCTTCAGTTTCCTCAGTAAATGGGAACAACAGTTACAGCCCCATTTGATGAGGCTAATTTGATGTAAACACCTTATCATGCTGCGGGGCACACAGGGATGGGCACGTACACGGGCCACAAGTGTCAGACCTTTAGGACCCCAGCAGAGAACCTGCCTTAGAGGGACCGTGGAGACCTCTTCGTCTTATAGATGAGAAGTTTAAAGTCAGAAAAGGAAGTGATCTAAGGACAAACAGTAAATGCTGATGCTGCACTCTGAATCCAAGTCTTGTCCTCTTCGACCACCCCCTCCTTTCTGGGGTAAGAGAGGTCACTCCCAGTATATCCCCATCACGCTGGACAGAGGTGCCCGACCCTAGACTCTGCTTCTTACCAAGACCTTGGCCTCTCATTCCTGTCCTAGCTCTCAACTTCCTTTTTACCCCTTCCCTCCCCTCTCGCTGCTCTCTCTACACAGGACTATGTGTATCTGATTTATTTTACACGGTGATAAACCGAAACACGGTTAGAGCTTTAGTAAAAAAGCATGAGTGGAAATGGACTTGGGGACAGCTGTGGGGTTCCCTGTAATTCCCATTGTCCCCTCACCTGGGGGTGGGGGTGGTTAGACTTGGTTCTCAAGTTTCTGATGGTGATGGAATCAAAGACTGTGGAGGAGGAGCTGTCAGAGAAAGCTGTTTAATGTAGGTTTCCAGCGGCCAGAGCTTCTGTCTGGGGAAGCAGCAGTTGGTCTGAGTCAGAGGCTCCATTCGGCTCCATCTTCTGGTATGTTAGCCAACCCTGAAATACAAAAAGAATAGACAAGGCTGTGGAAGAGGAAGATGACTTGTGTGGTTGGAAGCAGGTTGTGAAGATTTTTAAATGGCATTCATAAAAACTGCAACAACAGGCATTGTTTCCCCACAGCTGGGCACCAAAAGGGGCAGGCATTTTATTGTAGAAATATATAGAAAGAAATGGCAGGTGCTCAATAAATATTAATAGTGTACCCATCACTATATTGACTTGAAATGCCAAAGGATACATTGGCAGACAAACACATCCCAGACTCATTCTACCTTGTCCTCTTTTGTTAGAGTAGTGGAGGGTTGCTGGACTAGCGATCACGCGGGGTGGCACTCCCGCACTCATCCCTCAAACATCTACTCCAACGCGACTGCTGCTGTGTGCACTGCACTGAGCAGGGTGCCGAGAGGATGCCAATCCGCCGCCACATCATCGCCTCCGTGCCTTGCGTTGCAGGAGAAGGAAGGAATGTCAAGAGTCACTCCATTTCTCCCTCTCCTGCAAGGAGGCAAGAGCGGGCTAGCTCAGGGCGGCCCCCAGTCACCATGGTTCTCCCACGACTTGATTTGTAAATAGCGTGTTCCAGCCTCAGGGAATGTTAAACCCATTAATCTGCCTGGGAAACATCTATCCCTAAAAATTGCCTCATGTACCCCCTAGGATAATACCTACTGGGTGTCAAGAGCCTGCCTTTGCTATCTCATTTAACTCCTCCAGCAACCCTGCCCGAGTCACTGCTATTCTTATGCACCTTTAAAACATGCACCACCACCCTCGGAGCAGTCAGCCCCGCGTGCCTGCACCCAGAGCCCGCCACGCCAGCGCCATGCTGCCTCTCGGGCCAGGTTAGTCAGAAGGCGTCACGTTTGCTGGTGCCGCTCCCTCTTGCTCCCCAGGGTACACTACTTGGAGCCTTTCCCCTCTTTCGTTTAGGGGGCAGCGGAGGGTCCTATAAAAGTCCAAGAGAGCAGGTATCTAACACATCTTCCCTACCAGATGGGCAGCAAGGAAGATGAAGTGTTCAGGAAACAGGCCAGGTCTCACAGCAACCCGGGCGGAGAGGGGGGCTCGGAAGGCCCCAGCCGAGTTTTGGGAAACGGGCGGTTTTATTCCACCTTTAGAAGCTTTGGGTGAGGTACTTTCTTTTCATAATTGTAAACTACCTGGGGAATGTTCTCACTGAAGGGCACACACATTTTCCACTTGTCATCAGAATCACGGTTTAGCTCTTAGAAGTAAAATTTTCACTTCCCTGCACCAAAAAGGTAGAAAATATATTGGAGGTAAAAAGAAATACAAAAGTTTATGTCACGGCTAGTGGTCTGAGGTACTGTAGTTAGGAGGGTAAGATTTCTTTTCCCCCTTAGTAATGAAGATCTAAGATGGGGCCAAGCTTTTACTTTTCTGCCTTTAAGATGTCACAGAGGAGGGCCTCTCTGCTGGCGCAAGGGATTAAGTCTCAGCACTATGAAGCTACCGCAGCCACAGCAGCACGAGTTTGATCCCTGCCAGGGAGCTACCGACAGGGCGCAGCAGACCCCTCCTGTCTGCCCGCTGCTCCCCTCAGCAGTGTTTTAGTGGATCCCCCTGTTCTGCTCTCTGCTCTGTCTCTGGCGAATCCTCTCACTCCCCTGCCCGCCGCATCTCTGGCCTGCACCCTAGCTCTTGTATGCATAAATAAATCTTTTTAAAAAAAGATGTCACGGAGGGAAAGAATGTCTATAGCCAGTTTGCTGGGGACAGCTACCAGGGGCATGCGGCACGCTTGAACCTTGCTTTGAAAAAGCAAAGCCTTGGGTTCACCTAAAACCTCTACATAGAGCCCCGTCCCCAAGACCTGAGACCGTAAAGAGAAGCAAGGAGACAGCACGTCCACCGCTGCCCCCTACATGGCCCTGACTTGCAGGTCAAGGCAAAGGGGAAACGCAGAAGTGTCTGGAACACAGGAGCCAGCACGGGATGTGTCCACTGAGGCTCAGTGCTGAAGCAGAAAAAAGCACAAACCAAGCACCCTGAGAGCAGCCGCAGGAAGCACCTCCAGGAGACAGCGAAGCCGACTGTCCACTAACCGAGAGTCCCGACGCCCCCCCACACCTGGACAACACAAGGCCTCCGCGCTGCCTAGTGCGGGGGCCGGGCCCTGGCCAGGAGGTGGGAGAGGCCACAAGGCCGATGCTGCCCCTTTGTTTCTTCCCACCCGCCCTGGCTGAAATACCCCAAGAAAAATGTAGGAAGCATGACATCCTCTTTTCTCCACAAATTATGTGGCAAAGGGCACAAATAATTCTTGTAAAGAGCAACCATGGGAATGAGGAACTAAAGCCGCTGGAGCATCTAACTCGCGGTGAACCCCGACAGGCCAGGGCGGGCGGGTTTAGTCAACACCTCAGAATCAGACAGACGCCACAGCTGTTTTTGTCCTGTGGGCACCGTGGCGCTGCTGGCCCTGGCCCACACCTGTATTTCTGGCTTTTGACTCTTACCACCATGAGAACAGAGGGAAAGGAGAGAAAAGGGGGGGCCTAGGGTCACTGCAGCATCCATTTCTACACGTTCCCCTTCCCCTCTTGCTCGTCACCAGGCTCAACTTTCTCCGTCCCTGCTTTGCACTTGCTGGAACTTCTACAGAGGAAGGGAAACAGGATGTTTACTTAAGACTCCCCTATCTCACTTGAGGGTGTCCCTCTTGTAACTGCCTGGGCAGCTTCGATGAGCAATTACTCAGCAATTGTGAAGAGCAGCTGACCGGACTTGTCCATACAGTTACTCACAAACAAGTATGAGAAACGCCCCAATACCCCAAAACCCACTCATGTGGTGTGTATGCACATGTGTACGTACAAGAGGGGCAAGTGCCTCTCCTCTCCCAGACTGGCTTAGGGGAAGGTGTGCATTGTCAACGTGCCAGGGGACCCTCAGACCCCTCCCCAGAGGTCTAACAGCTGCCGCTTCCTTGCGGGTGGAGACAGGAATGGGGGGCAAGCTCTCGAGGGGGGCCAGGGAGCTGGAGCTCAGCAGCCCCGAGCCTGGCGGCGCACCCTACCGCTGGGGCTATTTCTGGAGTGTCTGGGACACGTGTGCAGCTCCGCGTAATCAAGGCTGCTATTTAGAGCATTCTACCCTGCCAGTGAGCCAGGGCCGGAGGCGAGGCGGTGACTATCTCTTTACCCTAAAGCCAACATTCCGTTGATTAAGCCATTTGGGTCATGAAGGGACGGGGCAAGGGAAGGGCGTGGCGTCCTTTGCCAGACTGCCAGCAGAAGGGGCAGATGTGGGAACAGGGCTGGCCAGGATCCCTGTCACCATCACCCCGATTTGTATTTGCTTTAAAAATGCTTCTTTGCTCACAACTGCACAACTTTTTGAAGACATACACAGGTAATTATCCATACAGCATAACCCACCTCATTACCAGCCACTCCTGAACATCTTGATCTCACCCTACCCATCATTCTTCTCCAAATTTGAATTACAAAGGAGCAAACAGAAAACCCAAAGGCCATGAAGATCCTCGAGGCCCACACGGCCTTGCGGGCGCTCAGTGCGGAAGTCAAAGGGGACAGCAGGGCAAGATCAAGGGGAGGGGAAAAGGCAGCCACACAACAAGGAAACCGTACTTTATTAACGGGAGAACAAAACAGTACTGGGACAGAGAGTTTTGAGAGGAATGGTTGGAAGTGAGGCGAGCGCCAGGTCGCAGGCGGAGACACACGGTGCCGGTTCGGGGGCCCGCGGCAGGCACGCTTGGGCTCAGGCTGCTGACCCGGCACACCTGCCGAGGCGCCCGGCTTGCTTTCTGGCTCTGCAGCTGGCTGCACCTTCAGGCCCGGACAGTCACGGAGGGGCTCAGGGCTCTGCAGGGGACGGGCCTCCAAGCAGGCTGCTCCGCAGGTGGCATCTTGGCTCGGAGTCATCCCTCCTACTTGTGCTCACCAGAGAAGCCAGGGGCCCGTGGTCACAGCCCCAGATCTCAAAGAAAAATGTCAAACCTTCAGAACTAGTTATTTTATTAAATGATATTAATACACATTTCAGAAGGATTTCATTTTTGTTGCCTCTAACGCATGTACTTGCTTTCCACACCGAACATGTGAGAATATCAATCCAACAAATCTACTTTTACTTAACAGGCACCCTGCCCATTCAAAAAAAAGGGGGGGGGCGGACAGAAGGGAAAAAGGGGTGAAAGCAGTAGTTTACAGAGGCTTCAGAACAGTAACAGCTGAAGCTTAGTTCTGCGTGAACCAGCAGCTTCAGGGTCGACGGTGACCAGTCGGCGCCGGGAGGCCGCGCGCGCTTCCCAGAGACCGGCCGCTGTGCCGTGGTTATCACAGACGTCGTCCTCCTGGGACCACAGAAGCTAAAAAAAATCCTGTTCTCTGATCACCTCACCCTCCCTGAAATCAAACCGAACTCTATTTCTCAACTTCTGGAGGGCAGAGGGGAGCAGGGCGAGTTCGGAGCTAAGAGGACCGGAGAACAGACTCTTACAAAACACTGCAGGAGCCTCGGACACGGAGCACCGCGCTCGGGCGGCGCCGGCTCCCCGGAGGCCCTGTCGGCTCTGTCTCATTTTCCAGGGAGCACCAAGAACCTCAGCAACAACTTCGCATGTTTTCACGTGACTCATGTCCTTGCCAAGACACACTATGTTATGCTTTCTTTAAAAAATATCTTGTTTATTTTTTTTTCTTTGAACTCAGGTTGAAATACAAAAATCAGGGCATGGGCGCGGAGCTTTAAATCACAGACACGGAAAGAATAAAACCCCTTTGTTTCACGTTATGAATACCAGAATTGTCTTTTTTTTCACTATATCACATATATACATTGTTGTCTTCATTTACTGCTGTGGACAGATTTCCTTAAAATTAACAACTGACAGTCACACACAAATCCTCACTTCCATTCCAAAGCAAAAACACTGAGGATTTTGTGGCTTTACAAAAAAATACTTCACCCAAACCCCAGCACTTAAAGGTCCATCTTTCAGACTGTATACAAGTACAGTCTTTCGTGTATCAGCCACCGTGCCCCAATATTCAGGAAGCCATTTTCCTGACATCCCCACATTTCCTGATAAAATCAAATGGTCAGAGAGCCTCTTCAAGTAAACACTACTTTTAGCTTAACAAGAGCAGCAGAAGAATTCACATTCTTTTATTCTAGAATGAAAAACATTCCACTTACTTTCTGTAAAAAAAAAAAAATCTATTTCAATTGTGTCAAATAGAGCTCTCCCCCCACTTTCTTATACTTTTCCCTAAACAAATGTCTTAAGACTCAACATAACTATATTGTCTCTTCGTTTGCTACACTATATATTCCATCCCACACACAAGGTCATGGTGTCATGCATTTGGGGGAAGGAGCCTTGGGCAAATGGACCTAACAGGGTCAAAAAAGAACGAACAGTTGGATTAAGACCAGAAATGCATCAGGAAGACAACTTGCAGCGCCCTCCCCATGGAACACATGGCGACCCAAATAAATAACATGGAATAAGTTACAGGAAAACTCCCAAACTATGACGCTCCCCTGGCTTAAGCTGCTCTTCACCTGCAAAGCGCCTGTATCTGAGACCTAACCGCCTCCTGTCACCGTATCGCCACGTCTCCGCCATCTTTAATATTTCACTGGAAGAATCTAAAGCCACCTCAGTCAGCTCTATACTAACTTGAGAGAAAATATGAAACAGACCCAACACATAGTTTCATTCGCCTAGCTGGAGGCTACCAGAGTGGACGGTGGGAGACGCTGAATAATAAAGGCGGGAAAGCCACGTTTGCTTCTGTGTCCTGAGATGTGGCGCTATGAACACTCAGGGCGGTGACTGTCTTTTCCTCAGGGCTAGCTGGAATATGGATTAGAAGGGAGTCTCCCAGGCCAGGGAGGAGGAAAGCACTTCTTTCTCATTGGGAGTGGGCATGAGAGAAGGCCTGGGCTCACTTGGATGCATCGCGTCCTCCTGCAAGATACCACTCGGCACACACACATCTAAAGCCACAGAACAGAAAAGGTGCTACTGAAGCTCCTGCAAACACCAGAACCAGCTGAATATAGGACAAGGACGGGAAAACGAGAAAGAGGCACATTTCCCTTTCCCTCGCGGTTAGCCTTTGCGGAAGCTCATCATCTAACAGCACAACGGGAGGAACCGCAGATGAAGACGTCTACTCTCACATTAAAACCACAGGGAGCACATTTCAGGTGCACTTTCGTGTCATTTGTCAACTGTAGTGACTTTCTGGTCAAAGTAGAAGTGAAAACGGAGGGAGAAAAAGAAAGCGAAGGGAAAAGCTGGAAGAGCTTGTGCGAGACCCGAGAAACCACCTCAGCCAGGCCCGCGCCCGCCTGACCACGGAGGACGGGCAGGCCGCAGCGCACCGTTCACGGCTCCTCACAGCAGCTGTTCCTTAGTTAAACCTGGAATTTATATCCCCTCAGAGCTACCACCTAACAGCACTTTCAAAGAGGCTGATTTAAAAAAGAAATGGAGAAAGGTAAGGAAGTCCAGGCCCACACGCCCTGCGGATCAGACAGCACAACTGCGCTGGCCAGGCCGAGGCCCCCTCCCTGCCCTCGCCACGCGGTGGGTGGGCAGGGCACAGAGGGGAGCCCAGCCGGCCGCAGCGGTCACTCAGCGGGAGAGAGCAGGGGACGGGAATCCTTCCATTGACTACTTAAGCCAAACCCCAAATAACACCCCAACATGGCACGGCATTATCTGCACTGATGGAAGTTTTATTTCAAATGTAATAATCCTCTTCATAGACGGGGTAAACGAGACCTGTTTCCCTCCCCGCCCCGCGAACCCCAGCCAGAGGCAGAGGCTCTGGTTACGTTTCTTTGCTGTCCCCTCTCCCCCCTTTTTAAAAAATACAAACAACTCGGGTAAGTGCGGCGGGCAGAGGGAGGACGGGTCGACCAGTGACGTGTGAGCACGGGTGGCGTTCTAATTTGGAAGGGAGGCCCTCGGGCATAATAAAAAAAAGTCAAAGGAGGGGAAACAAAACCGCCAATAATCCAAACTCCTACTTCCAAAGCTCTCTAGACTGTTCCAATGCCTTTCCCTTGGCTTCCGTCAGTACCTGGGAGGGAAGAATGGGCGTTTTGGTGCAAAAAATGGAGGGCCCCTGGCAAAAGGCGGCCGGGGTCTCTTTAGACTGTGGAACGGATCTCTGCTGAGGAAAGGCTCCCTAGGCCGGAAGTCTGGCCGGGGACTCCGCAAAATCATACCGCTCCGGCTGATGGTGTCTCTGTGTGAGGGACCCAAGGGGGGGCCACCGCCGCTGTTGCTGACTCCCCCACCTGCTGCTCCGTGGGCCGGGCCTAGGTGCTCCAGAGAATGGGAGGGCAGGCTCAGGCTCTCGCGCACACGGCTAAGGCCAGGGCCATTGAGGTCCCGCTGGGTGGGGCCCACGTGGTCCCTGGGTCCTGGGAGCACCCCAAAATGCTCTGCCAGGGTCCCTTGAAGGAGGGAGCTATGGTCCTTGGGAAACATTGCCACGGCCCCCGCCACTCCGTGCTCGGCCAGCGATGGGGCTGGGAAGGGGACCACCCCAGAGTGGTCAACGGGGGGCTGCGGGGGGGGCGGAGTAGAAAAGGGGACACCACTGCCACCGCTGCTGCTATGTTCCCCGGGGGGAGGAGGAGGGGGCGGGGTGGGGAAAGGAACTCCACTGTGCTCTCCGGGAGGAGGGGGCGGGGCCGCGTGGGTCAGGGCCGCCTCCTTCGTGAACGGGTTCGAGAGATCCACGGAAGGCAGATGCGTGGGCGCCTCTCGAGAGAAGATACCACCGTGATCCTTGGGGGGGCGGGCGGGGCCGACGCCGGCCCCACTGGCTCTCTCTGGAAGGGTGTCCCGTGTTCCAAGGGGGCTGGGGGGAGATGATGCTCAAATGTTGAGTTGAAACTGTTGGAACGAAAGCTGCCGACACTTTCCTGAAATTGGGGTGCCCGGTCCTTGTATGATGTTGTTTTAAAGCTAGTGAGGCCTCCGCTGCCCGCACCCCCAAGGGGCGCCAGCTCAGAGGCACTGGAGGGGCCGTTGTCGAAAGAGCCGCCTGAGGAGCTCAGGTCAAACCAGCCCACCCGCGAGGCCTCGCGCCCATGGCCTCGGCTTCCCTTCCCGGGCACGCGGACTGACTCCACGGTCTGAATGGGCTCCCCCGACATCCTCCGATTGGATGCGTTATGGTAGCCCAAGGTCTCTATGGGGGCCCCCTTCTCCTCGGTGCTGTCGGGCAAGTCTAGGCAGGAGGAGGAGACGCGGGTCTCAATGCGGAAGTGCTCTTCTGGCTGCTGCTGCTCGGGGGCGGGCAGGCTGGGCTGGGTGAGGCCGGAGAGGCCCACACCGTCGCTCGGGGCGCCCTTGCCGGGGGCCTGGCCAAAATGCTTATCATCCGAGGGCTTGCGGGAGGCGTTTTTAAGCATATTCTTAAACTCAATCGTCGACGTGGTGGAAATGGTGGAGGCCAGGGCTTTCTCCATGCCTGAGGTGGGCGGGTGGCCCGCGGGAGCGGCAAGGGTGTTCTGCGGAGAGAAAAGGGAACGGTGTGGGACGGGGTGAGGAGAGTCTGGGTACTGCTTCTGTGGCAAAGTGAGGTGCCCAGTGGTAGGTTGAGGCAAGCTATTGTGGTTGGAGTCAGGGGTGAAAAAGGAATCATTCTTACTCGGCGATGGAGACCGGTCGGACCCAGGCTCATTCCCTCTGATGCTGAAGGCACCAAAGAGCCCAGGGGAGGATGAGAGACGGTCGCAGCTGTCACCGGAGTCCAGCAGGGCCCTCACGGATGGAGGGAAGGTGGACTTCACCCCAAATTCTTGGGCCCTGTGGCTATAGCTGGACAGGATTGGCTGGTACTCGGTGGCATCAGAGAGCTTACTTGCCTTCAAGATGGACTTGGCTGGTTTCTTCTCCAGGTTCATCATGGCAGAGGGGGGAGGCCCTGAATACTCGAAATCTCGGTAATCCTCATCTTCCTGGAAAGAGGTATCTGGATAGAACTTCTCCTGCGAAGAGTCCATCAGGGAAGATGGCCTCTCCATGCCCTCCGAGGGCTGCTTATAGGGAGACTCACTGCCGAGGCTGAAGGGTCGGTAGGCAGACACAGAGTTGGCGAGCTCCCGGGGGTAGCCCTCCTCTCTCCCGGGGGGCGGCGATCTCGTGCTGCTGGGGGTTGAGGAGCCAGGGCTGATGATCTTGGAGAGCAAGGACACGGTGTCGACACTGCTGGACGTGGGCTTGTCCATCATCTCATCCTGCGTGGGCGTCCCGCTCCGCTCGTCCCGCACTGGGGTTCCACCGATGTTGTCCACGGAGGTGCTCGTCGGGCCACGTGGGAATTCTGAGGAGTGGCTCTCCGTGGGGGCACTGGACCCCAAGCTGCTCAGGATTGGGATGTTTAAGTTTAAGCCACTGAAGCCAGGATTACCTTTTAAGAAGTTGTGGATCTTCATTTCCAGGCTTGGGGAGGTGGACTCGGACTCCAGCTTTGGCTTGGAGATGTCTGAAGGTTGGCACATGGCAACTTCAGGAGGGGGGGCGGCAGAGCTAGTATTGTGGGTGCTGGCAAATGCCAGGGAGTTGGAGGGCAGCTTGAAAGTAGTGCTTGGGAGCCCTGGACTTGGCCCAATGGAGGCCTTGCTGGCTGAAGTCGAAGAGACTTCAGAAGTTGTTGAGTTAGGAGAATAGCTGAAGCTCTTGGGCATGAAGGTTTGGGTGGTGGAGGGCAGATTTCTCCCCTTCACGCTGGAGATGGTGGTGTTGGCGGGGGACGCGGAAGTGCTCTGGGGCGCAGCTTCACTGGCTGGAGCTGGGTTCCCTGTGACACTCTGAAGTAAAGAGGACAGGCCTATAGAAAGAAAGATCAGAGGACTCAGTGAGAACAACACCCGACCTTACAATAAAAACAGTGTAGGCTAATTCGACAGTTTCATTCCTTCCAATGAGAACCAGAAAGAGATTAAATTATAGGGCCAGAGGGAATCTAGACCAAACAAACAAGGGCTAAATGTCACAGGAACACTGAGCCTCCTTATCAACATGAGGAAGGCCATCGCGACACGGTCCTGGTGCAGCCGTGAAACAAGCCCAACGTGTACGATGAAAGGCAACAGGAAGGGGGAGATTTTCGTGTCAGAATCACTCATGGTTTAAACAAGACTGAGCAGGAAGAGAAAGGAGGCAAAATTATTCTTAAAATAACACTGCAAGCCCGTGTTTCCCAATGCTTGATCGCGGGACTGTTTCTCTACGGGCGGGCAAGTGTCCTGCCCTGCCCTTCCTTTTCAGCCTCTGTAATTGTCCCTCCGGAGCTACTGTGTACACTGCTATTCTCAAGAGAAAGACAGCACATACCAACTGCAGAGATCTGTCTGAACAGGGAATGTTTTATTCATCTCTGGCTAGTTTACCTGTTGGTGTTACCTTTGGGAGTGGAAGCCTCAAGCGATCATTTTTGGTTGGAAGTGTAGCAATAACAAATACACAAACGGACAACACAAAGACTCACAAAGTCAGACCACCTGGGACACTGACCCTTTCATAAAAAACACACTTCATAAATTGAAATCCTAACAGCTTTCCACTATATATAACATTGTGCCTGACTGATCTACTCAGAAAACAGAATCTTCTGTATGTAAATGAAAGGTGACAAATTATTGTGACAAATTATAAACACGTAAAAAAATTTTCATAAAAAAACAAATTTTAAGGATTATTGACTACCCAGGTCGACACAGATGAGACTGGACCCTACTCACTGACAGACAAAACCTTCCCAGAAGCACTGAGAGAGAACTCTCTGGGGCAAGGCTGAAGTTCACCCACGCAAACAGCTCCTGTAGAAAATTTTTTAGAAAAACACTGACAAAGAGATAACAGAGGTCCCATAAATTCAATCACATTTTGGAAAAATTATTCAGCTTCAATTCAAATGAAAACTCAAATGTACATGTCACCTGCATTTATAGCTTTTAGTCGTACACTACGACGTCCTTCATGTAGTATGTGAAAGCAAGGAATTCATGATACTTCATTAATGTTTCTTCAAAATCTCAATTTTAATCTAGAATTGCTAAGAGGTTTAAGGTATAAAGAATTTCAAGGCCCTTCCATTCTTACAATATTTTTAACACCATCTACTTCTAAATAATGGTGTGTGGTTTTACTGTTGACAATTCAATGACATCCAAGTAATTGATATGGTATTTATTCCAGTTATTATTCTCCCATAAATGAACATGTCTTATGTCTAAAGAAGCGCCCTGGCTGTACACTGATCCTCCTAATAGTCTGGATTAATTCTTAGAAGTCACTGTTCCTACCAAAACCAGAAGTTCTCAAGCACTAAAATGTGATGTATAATAATATCACCTGATTTTAAAAAGATATTTCAGCATATCTCCCAGATATATTGTGGCAGAAATTATTCAAAGACCACTTTGTCAAGAAAGATGCAATCCAGATTTCTGGTGTAGTCTTTCACCGGTAAACATTACTTTTCTTAATCTTTTTTTTTTTTTTAAGATTTATTTATTTATGCATACAAGAGCTGGGGTACAGGCCAGAGATGTGGGGGTGAGAGGATCCATCAGAGACAGAGTGGGGAGCAGAACAGGCAGACTGACTCAGATACACTGCAAAGGGGAGCAGCAGGCAAGACAGGAGAGGTCTGCCTTGCCATGTGGGTTGCTCCCTGGCTGGCTGGGGATCGAACTCATGCTGCAGAGGCTGTGGATTGCTTCATAGTGCGGGCTTAACCCCTTATGCCACCAGGGAGGCCCGCTTTTCTTAATCTTAATAAGCCATAATCTGTGATCTTTTTGCCCACTGAGTTGGTTCTTTTGTGCTGACAATCCATCAATAAGGGATGTGGGTGACATAATCAGAGCAAAGGTCTACTACATTCTCTTTAATCTTTGAGGAAACACATCTATTTAAGGTGCTAGACATAGTTCTTTTAAAAGTCAAGAAGACTTCAAAAGAGAAGTGTCTATAAGGAAATGAATGGTGAAAAACTACTCTGCTATTTCACGAAGGTTGTTTTCCGGAGTTTTCATTCCTCATTGTCAGAACATACCTAGTTCTGTTCAAATTCTCCCTGATGAGTAAGTTTTTGTGATACTGTTGCCAACAATTTGCTGAAATGAAAAACTTCTTTAAGGGTTAGGTATTATATATACATAAGAAAGTAAAATACAAGTGAGTTCAAGATTTTTACTATACCTGGCCTTCCTGGTGGTGCAAGGGATTAAGTCTCAGCACTATCAAGCTAACACCAGCCACTGCAGCACAAATTCAATCCCTGGCCAGGGAGCTGAGCCACATGGAGTGGCAGACCTCTCCTGTCTCCCGGCTGCTCCCCTCAGCAGCTTATTTCAGTCAACCCGCCTGTTCTGCTCCCCACTCTGTCTCTGGTGAATCCACTCACCCCCTGCACCTCTGACCTACACCCCAGCTCTTGTATGCATAAATAAATAAAATGAATCTTTAAAAAAAGATTTTTACTATACTTTCTCTAGTGAGAGAAAAGGGACCATGCTGATCTCAAACTCACCGTCACTGAAATCAGCAGCATAAGTTGTGCTGTAGTATTATTATTATTATTAATTTTTTACTGTTAGTGCTAATGGACAGGGCTGTGGGTTACTATTTAATAGTAATGAAATCCTCCAATCTTAGCACAAAGCTCCCTGTAACAGCGCCTGACTTGACGGCTCAGAGGACAGCTCAGGAAACAGTAAGGTTAATGCTGTGAACTGTTCTCTAGTCACAGAACGGAGGGTTTTTCAGCCTTGGCACTACTGGCATTCTGGGCTGGATAATTACTTCTTGTGGATACAAACATGTCCAGACATTGCCAAATGGCCCCTGGAGGGTCCTGGTTGAGACTCACTGTGTTGGAGAAACTGTTCTGTAATTCACTTCATGATTACATTGAGGGTGCTTGAGAGGAGCTGGGTTTGTGTCTGGGGGCCTGACAACACACAGCAGGTGAGCCTTATGGAAAAAAATGTTAGAAGCAGACAGAGCTGGCAAAACAGGTAATTAGCAGAGCTGAAAACAGAGATTACAGAGAGTGAAAACAAAGAAAGTGTACTAGATAATGTATTATATACATATACCTATAAATAGTAGCATCTAGAAAATACCAGGACAAAAATAATAATCATGTCTCATTAGACTTTCAAGAGTAAAACTGGCCTTTCTTACTGTCTTTCGCTTTGGTTCACAGTAAAACAGATGAACCTCGACACATACTGACCTGTACTAAGAGCGGGCACCACAACCCTGGATGTCATGGTGTAAGTGAGAGAACTCTGGGCTCCAGTCAGGAAATCTGGCTGAGGCCCAGCTCATCACGGAATACAGATGTGTGACCTGAAGTCGGTCACATCATCTCACTGGCCCTTAATTTTCTCACCTGAAAAGGAGGGGATTAGACTAGATGTTATTTAAAGTTTTCGTTCAGCTTTGACATCTTATAATTCCACAAACGCCAGCTTGCAGATGATAGAGACTAAGAGATTTACTGTATCTCATACTTCACAGCTTTGGAGTCCTCAGCCTGTTCCCAGACCGAGCCCTCAGAGACACACTCTCAACTCAGTGCCCTTGGGCGCCTGCGGTTTACCTTGTAGCGCGGGGGCCGACTGCGTCTGGGTCTTGGAGAGGGCAGACAGGATGCTCTCTGGGGTGATCTCCACTTTCGAGAGGATGTTTGCCAGAGGATTGTGGGACGTGGTCGCAGAAGGTGCCGGTGTTTTTAGGCCGGTGGTGAGGTTGCTGGGACTGGTGGGCGTTCCCGGAGACGGTCTCGATGCAGGACTGACCCCTGGTGGCAGAAAGATTAACTCAAGAAAACGCATGTCCCCCACACTCACGCTCCCTCAGTGCAAAAAAAAAAAAAAAGGCTTGTGCAAAAAAAAAAAAAAAAAACTTAGTATTGGGTGAAGATTTGTTCTTGTCTATTTTGGATATCCCCAAAATAAACAAGTATTAAGGGTTTTTTTTGCTAAGTATTCATTAATTTTGAGAGCCAAGGGGAACAGCCCAGGGACCTCTCTCCACCCGCTCCAAGGGGCACTGCACCCCAGCCCCCGAGGGCTCATGATCACAGGTGGCTGTGATGGAGCTGTGCAGACACATGACTTGGCTACCACGTCACTAAGTCTGTGATTAAGTAAGAAAGATGTTTTTGAAAAAACCTTTAAATACAACTTCCTTTATATTTTTACATTTTACAACACTAGGTTGAATTTTAACATAGGGAAAAAAGTATTGAAGATAAAATAATTTTTTAAAAAACAGGAACAAAAGAAAATGAATAAGCAAAGCAGGTTAAAATAACTTTTAAAGATTGGATCTGACAAAGGTTAAACCAGCACAGGAAGTGTTGCGAGGCTGGGGAGCCACAGGGACTTGCATACACTTGGCACATAAAACATTACATGTTTGGATCATTTTAGTTATAACATGAAAAGACTTAAGCAATATGCTGATTTTTTGGAGAGTCTTTATCTTTGAGAAATACATATTTAGGCATTTATGGAGAAATGAAGTAACTGGGATTTTCTTCAGAATATTCAGGATTGGTTTGGGCACAAACACCACTGGCCACGTGTTTGAAGACAAGGGGTTCATGTGGGGGCTGCACATCTGTGTACTGTCATTAGAATATTTGTTTATTTTTTCAAAAAGCTTTATTTATTTATGCATACAGCTGGGGTAAAGACCAGGGGTGTGGGGGGTGAGAGGATTCACCACAGACTGGAGAGCAGAACAGGCGGATCCATTGAAACACACTGCTGAGGGGAGCAGTGGGCAAGACAGGAGAGGTCTGCTGCGCCATGTGGGTTGCTCCCTGGCTGGCTGGGAATTGAACTCATGCTGCGGTGGTTGGAGCTTGCTTCATAAGTTGCTTCTTAACCCCTGAGCCAGCAGGAAGGCCCTGCATTTCATTTTTTAAGTTCATTTTCAGATGAAGTGCTTTTTGTCCCCCTTCACATTAATTTCTAGACAGTACTCGCTGCCCCCACCCCAGGTGTTGTCCCCGCAACTCTGCCACCGCCTTGGCCCCTGACCATTGCCACTGCCCTTGTGCTCTTTCCTCCGAATTCCACCCCCGTTCACAGTTTTATTTTAAGTTAAAAAAAATTACTCTTGGGCCCCCCTGATGGCGCAGGGGATTAAGCACTGCACTATGAAGCAATCCGCAGCACAAGTTCGATCCCCGGCAGGGCAGGGAAAAACCCACATGGCGAGGCAGACCTCTCCTGTCTCCCCTGCTGCTCCCCTCAGCAGTGTATGTTAGTCAATCTGCCTGTTCTATTCCCCGCTCTGTCTCTGATAGATCCTCTCACACCTCCCACATCTCTTTTTATGCTCTTGTATGCATAAAAATAAATCAATCTTGGGCCTCCCCTGGTGGCGCAGTGGTTGAGCGCTGGGCTGCAAGGTTGCCCGCAGCCTCCGCAGCACTAGTTCAATCCCTGGCCACTGGCGAGGGTCCCACCAAAAAAAAAAAAATCTTAAAAAAAAAATCTTAAAAAAAAAAAAAAAAGTTAAAAATTACTCTTATTTTTAGAAAATCAACAAAAACCTGGACTGACTGTTCAATTAGGAAAATGGAAATCACCTTTTTTAATGCTCTCATTGGGTTTACTTACCAGTATTTTTCATGACTGATGTTAGGCTGCTGAGGATGGAGCTGATCTTCGCCAGATCCACATTTGCCAGGTTTGGCAGCGCCAGGGCCGGAGAGGGGGTCAGAAGGGAAGGGGTCGCAGGCTTTGGAAGGGGTGGGGTTGCCGTCATGGTCACGGGCACCGGGGCCGGGGCGCAGGGGGAGGCCTTTGGGACACTTTCTGTTGGCTTTGTGGGTGCAGACGTGGATACAGCTGACTTCTCCACAGGTTTCTCCTTCCTGTCCTCCACTGTGGAAACAGAAAGAGACGACACTGCAGCCTACTATTCTACTTTCCAGACGGCTTCTAGTATGAAACAGCATGTCCTCACGTCCCTTGACAGAAGGTAAAAAGCACGACACTTTAAAGAAAAGCAACCACACGTCATGCTCTTTATACTTTATGATCCGTCCTGCCTTCAAAACCTGTTTAAAATGAATTTTCCATATTAATCTTTCATCTTAGTTTTTAATTATTTTCCTTATATCTTAGTATATATGCATGAAATTTGTACATTTCTAGAGCCATGTTATTATTTGGAATATGCTAGTATTCTCTCAGTGATGATATTTATGTCATAAATTATAAATATGAAGTGTGACTGCTTTTCTTTAAAACTTAATGTTTTTTACCTTCTTTGCCCTTAACCCAGAGCTTTCTAAGAGACAGAAACTTGGTGCACATTTTAGTGTACTTTCCTTTGTCTTCCTGAAACTGGCCTACAGGGTGGGGGTGGGGAGGGTGCGATCGGCATGACTTTGAACTGCACTGTTGGAACTCTTGATGCGCCGTGATATGCTCCTTTGGGTACTTTAAAGGCTATACAGTGCACTACATTCGCCAGAACTGCCTAGTAAGAATAACTACAAAAAGCTGGATGCCAGAGAAATAATTTGCCAAACCAGGAAAACGTTGAAAGTGAGCCTAACAAAACCATGGGTTTGGACTCTTGAAGATCAAGAGTGACGGAGAACAGGGAATTCCAACTGGGCGCCCCTCCCTCTAGAGCCGTGCTGTTCAGAGAAAAGTAGTTCAAGCCACGCATGTGAGCTGACATTGATTGTTTGGTAGTCACACACACAGAAAGAAACAAGTGAGTTAATTTTAATAATATATTTTACTAATCTCAATATATTGCAACATCCTCATTTCAATGAGTTATAACATGAAAACAGCCATTTTCACTCTTCTCAATGGTACCAGATTTCTAGAGCCCTGGAACTGCAGGAGTGCACCTGTCTAGGGTGCACATTTCACGCCCGACAGCCACAAGGGGTTACTGGTCACCACAGTGGGCAGCACAGGTGCTGAGCCATACCCGCGCGGCCTCAGCTCCCAGTCCCTGCTGCACAAATCCCGAACTACCGTGAGTAACTGTGTGTGATGGACTCGATGGTGGGAAAGCAAGACTCTTAAGAAAACAGGTGGCCCAGGGACTGCGCAGGACATACCGATGATCTTGGCCCCGTCATCCTCCACGTCGGAAAGCTCCATGTCTTCCACATCACGGTTATCTGTGGCAGGCTCGGGCGTGGCAGATTTCTCACTCTCCATGGCTGGGGACTGGGACTCCTCACCTCCCATCCCCTGAAAAGGAGACTCGGAGCCAGTTGGGGAGGGAGCATCCATGCTTGGGGAGGGGACTGGTGATTCCTCAGGATCAGGAAGGGTTGCCTTTAGCTGATCCAGCTTTTTCTTTAAATTGTTCACGCGATTAGCAAAGGTTTTGTAAGCCTAGAAGAGAAAAAGATTTTATCCCTTTGAGAAAAGCACCAAATAGCTACCATTTTGACTCTGATGCAATTTCCTCATTATTAACCACATCACAGGCAGAAAACAGGAAACCAGGATGGTTTGTCAGGTTTGGAGTAATTTCCAACCTCTATTTTTTGGTATTCACCATCCATGGAGCTGCCTGCGCTGGACAGCTACAGGTCACCTACAACTCATCCCCCTCCGCTCCCTTCTCTCCATCTGACTAACCAGTGTTTACCGATGGCATAAACAGACTGGCCACTCTCCCAGGTATTAAAGATAACAGCAGTGACAAAGAAGCCAGAAAAAAAAAAATCAAATCCATAAATAAAGCGCAGCCTACAAGGTCAAATACTGACTTTTTTTTTTTTTTAAAGATTTACTTATTTATACAAGATTTATTTATTTATTTATACATACATACATACATACATACATACATACATACATACAAGAAGCACGGGAGGGTGAGAGAATTCACCAGAGTCGGAGTGGGGAGCAGAGCAGGCAGACAGACGGAGGACACTGCTGAGGGGAGCAGCGGGCGCAGCAGGAGAGGTCTGCGCGCCATGTGGGACCCTTGCCAGTGGCCGGGGATCGAACCGGCGCTGCAGAGGCTGAGGGCAGATTCACAGCCAAGCACTCAACTGCTGTGCCACTAAGGGAGGCCTGGAAAGCAGAACTTTTAACAGTCCTGCTGGTCTGTATAGATTTGAGATTTGAAAAACCAAGATTCTGATGAAAGAGGAAGAACAGAACTCGTACAACAATATGTTATCATTTTTCCTTCAAGAGGTCTGCCGAATTCTGAAATTGCTTAAAGGGGAATTCAGCCAAGCAAAAACCTCTGAAGAGCACAGCGGAACTTAGCAGTCTCGTGGTGCTGAGGAGACAAGGGTTAGAGCTCAAGTCACGCCATGGAGCAGGAACCCAGACAGTCTGAGATTAAAAATCTACTTCCGAGAAGCTGAGATGAACCAGAGGAAAGCAAGGCTCAGCCAGGCAGCAATTCAACCTCAGTCAGCTTAGTTTCAGGCTTGATTAAGGACAGTGTCTCCAAAGAAATGGAAAGACATCCCCTGCTCATGGATTGGAAGAATTAATATTATTAAAATGTCCATCCTACCAAAAGCAATATACAGATTCAACGCTATTCCAATAAAAATCTCAATGACATTCTTCAAAGAAATAGAACAAATACTGAAGAACAAATACTGATGAAATTCATATGGAACAACAAAAAAACACAAATAGCCAAAGCCCTACTGATGAAAACAAAGGAGAAAGGAGGTATCACACTTCCAAACTTCAAGCTATACTACAAAGCCATATTAATTAAAACAGTTTGGTACTGGAACAAAAACAGACACACAAACCAATGGAACCGAATAGAGAGCCCAGAAATAAAACCATATTTATATGGACAACTGATCTTTGACAAAGGAGTAAAGAACATGCAATGGAACACGGAAATAAATGGTGCTGGGAAAACTGGACCACCACATGCAAAAAAATGAAACTAGACCACTACCTTTCACCATGCACAAAAATCAACTCAAAATGGATAAGAGAACTGGACATGAGACCTGAAAACATAAAATAAAAGAACACACAGGTAAAACACTACATGACATACATCGCAATAACATCTTAAAAGACGCATCACCCAGGGCCTCCCTGGTGGTGCAGCGGTGGAGCGCTGGGTTGCAAAGCTGCTCACAGCCTCTGCAGCATCGGTTTGACCCCCAGGTCCCACCTGGCGCGCAGACCTCTCCTGCTGCCCGCTGCACCCCTCGGCAGTAAATTTCGTCAGTCTGCCTATTCTACTCTCCGCTCTGGCTCTGGTGAATTCTCTCCCCCTCCCCTGCTTCTGACTGTACCCAGTGCTTGGATAAACAAATAAATCAATCTTTAAAAAAAAAAAAGACTCATCACCCAAAGTAAAGATAGTAAAGGAAAAGATAAACAACTGGGATTACATCAAACTGAAAAGCTTCTGTACAGCAAGAGACATTAACCAAAACAGAGCTACCCCACTGATTAGGAAAAAAAAAATCTTTGTACTCCATTCAACTGATAAGGGACTGATCTCAAAGACATACAAAGAACTCACAAGACTCAACAAAAACAAAATAAACAATCCAGTCAAGAAATGGGCAGAAGAACTTAAAAGACATTTCTCCAAAGAGGAAATACAAATGGCCAACAGGCATATGAAAAAATGTTCAACATCCCTATAATCAGGGAAATGCAAATCAAAACCACATGGAGATATGACCTTACACCAGTAAGAATGGCACACATCAAAAAAACAAGCAAGGATGTGGTGAAAAAGGCACTCTCCTACATTGCTGGTGGGAGTGCAAACTGGTCCAACCACTACGGAGAGCTGTGTGGAGGTTCCTCAGTCTACTAAAAATGGAGCTACCATATGACCCCGTAATTCCACTCCTAAGGATCTACCTAAAGGACACAAGAGCACTGATTCAAAAGACCACTTGTACCCCTATGTTTATTGCAGCACTATTTACAATAGGTAAAACCTGGAAACAACCTAAATGCCCCAAAATAGATGACTGGATCAAGAAGATGTGGTACATATACACAATGGAATATTACTCAGCAATCAAAAAAAGATAAACTCATGCTATTTGCAGCAATGTGGATAGAGCTAGAAGGAATGATGCTCAGTGAAATAAGCCAGAAGGAAAAATAAAAAAATCGGATGGTTTCACTTATAGCAGGAACATAGGGGACCCAAATAAGACATCGGGGAAAAAATAATAACAGTACAAAATACAATGAAGCAAAAACAAACAATTATAAACCAGAGACACACTGCAGGGGAGGAGGCAGGAGAGGGATCAGAGGGAGGGAGGAGCACAGGGGACTGAGGTGATGGTGCACGGGTGCATTGGTGAAGGAAACTCTATGGGGACTACACCTGAGGGTGTGGGAAGCAGCAGATATTGTTTAAAAATGAACAATGATGTAAAAAAACAAAAAATAATAATTAAAAAAAAGTACCAAAAAAAAAAAAAAAAAAAAAAAAAGAGGACAGTGTCTCGCGTGACAGAGCACCCCCCACCCCCATTATCTGCAGTTTCACTTTCTAGTGTTATCCACGGTCAACTGCAGACTGTATTTATGAGCAGTAAGCTATTTTGAGAGAGACTCACATAACTTTTATCACAGTATATTATTACAACTGTTTAGCTTACTAGTTACTATTGTTAACTTCCTACTGCACGGCTCTTTAAGCCGCACTAGATATGCACAGACAGGAGAACACTGCACGGAGCACGATACTCCAGCTTCAGGCATCCACTGGGGGTGTTGTGACATCTACCCCTTGGATAAGGGGGCCACCGTATTTTCCTAGTAAAGGGAAAAGTGAACCTTCTCTGGACAAAGAGAAAACATCGAGCGACTACAGACGCATACTCTCGTGTTAAGAATTCCACAGAGCGCGCAGGAAGACTCTGGAGTTGTTGCTGACCGTGATGAAACACAACTGGTGAAGGTGCTTTAAAGGAAATAGCCTGCAGCGGGAAGCCCAATTCAGGGCTTCTATACAAAATTTAGTTAAGAGAATGTTTACATCCAATCTTTTGGTTAAAAAAATGTGTGTGTGTATACACATATATGTATATTCTGCCCCATTTTTATGTCCGGTCACAGTAGCTCAGCACCCTGTCTCCAAAATGCCAAGACACAGGCTTTAGAGAAGTGAGACCATCAGGTCTGCATGAGCGTTACCATTAGGAAGACCCAGGTCTTGAGTTAAACCCCACTACTTACAGGCTTATAGTTAGTTGGTACCAGGTTACCAACTCTCTTCAAAGGCAACTTTATGTGGGAACTGCAGATAATAATGCTTGTCCGCACAGAGTTAAGCAACACATATAAAGAGTCCACTGAAGAGCTTTAATTATTACTTACATTAGCCACCACTTTTACTTCTTTGTACTGTGCTTCATAGAAAATTCCAGCATTTTCTAGTGCTTCTGTCAGTGAGGGCCCATTTTTCACCTGTTTATCTAATCCATTCACAAACTCCTCCAGCTTGGAGCTTGCCTCTTCAAATTCTTTGGAGAACTTCTTCCCACCTGTCTTATCTAAAACAACAGAGAAATATGAGTTCAAGATAAAAAGGTAAAAAAATTTAATCTTTTGAAGAAATGGCTCAGGATGATCTGTGAACCTATTCTTGCTGCTTTAGCAGAGTGTAAGATTCTTAACTTCATCTTAAAGAAGTGTCTCCAGATCGCAAAACAGGTATAAATGCCTCATGTGAAGCCTCGTGAGCAGAGTAGGAGAGCCCCAGAGGCCTGCGCTGAGGGCGAAAGGCGCGTGCAGCTGGAAGGAGGCTGACAGGTTGCCTTTCTTTGTGAGCAGATGTCACACCGGTACTAAGGAGCAACGCCATGAAGGTTAACTCTACTTGCTTATGCCACCAACTTTTACACTACAGAATGCAGTTAAGACCACTCTCTTAAGATGAGAAAACTAAAATTCAGAAAAGTAAAGTCACCTCTGTGTGTATGGCATTAAAAATCCTTCTTTCTTATTTGCAGAAGATACCTGGTGATTTGGTATCAGAAAAATATAAGCCATGATTTTTATTTTATTTTTTATTTTGTAAAATAAATATTATTTTTATATTCCCCATACAATTGCAACCCCCTTATTTTGACCCCAATCTCCCCTCCCCACCCCCCATAGAGTGTCTCTGGTTCATAGTTTTTTGTTGATTTTGATTTTCCTTTTCTTATAGTTATTCATTTTCCTGGTCCCTTATTTAAGTTTTCTAGATTCCTGCTATGAGTGAGACCATCCGGTATTTTTTTTTTTTTTTTTTTCTGATAAGCCATGATTTTTAAACAATGGTATTACTTCTCCTAAGTGTACTTCTTTCCCCGCGTCTACTGTGATGTGGCATTAGATATGGGTACAAGTGATGTCTCTGCCTCTAGTCAGCTGTGCTTTTGATATGCTTCTGAATTATTGTGAGGATTAAATTAGATAACATGGGCCTCCCCAGTGGCGCAGCGGTTGAGCGCTGGGTTGCGAAGCTGCCCGCAGCCTGTGCGGCGCCGGTTCGATCCCCGGCTGCTCCCCGGTCACCGGAGGAGGGTCCCACATGGCGCGCAGACCTCTCCTGCCGCCCGCTGCTCCCCTCAGCAGTGTACTTCGGTCCTTCTGCCTGCTCTGCTCCCCGCTCTGGCTCTGGTGAATTCTCTCACCCTCCCGCGCTTCTGACTGTACCCAGTGCATGTATAAACAAACAAGCAAACAAACAAACAAATAAATAAATAAAAAATGCCTCTATTAAAAAAAAATTAGATAACATGCTAAATTTAAAGCATGGTGCAAGAACAAAATGGTGTCAAAACGAACAATTAATAGTCATTTATTCATTATTTCTAAAACATCAAATGCCTATTACAGACCAGGTATCACTCTGGGTGTCAGCATATAGCAATGAACAAATGAGGGTAATCTGTACCTTTAAGAGATTTATATTCTGATAAATTACACAACACGGTGTGACCTTATTAAAGAACATGCCCAATCCAGTTAACCACACACGTGCAGTACACCAGTCTACACATCCACATCTATCAACTAATACATCACAGACGCACTCAGAGTAGGGAGGACGGAGTCTGTTTTTACTATTGCTATTCTTAATTTGTTCTTCGGCTTACTGAGCTACACTCGACATTGAGCTACACTCAACATCTGGCATTGCATGAGCTCAAGGCGTACAAGGCGGAGGACAGGGATTTACATATCAAGCCTGTGTGCGTGCAATCACTTCCTGGGAAACCACAGGTCTCCACAACTGCTTTCTAGAGGCAAGGGTCATCTTTATGGAGGAAAATGACAGATCCAGAAAGCAAGCCGGAGTCACTCCATTTACGAGGGTGTGTTACCTTTTAAGCATTTGAGTGTCTCTGTGCTGCACACGTCCACCCTCATCGTTGACAGCTGTTTTTCCTTCAATTCTATCTGATCTTCTGAGCGTTTGTACAGCAACAGCTCCTCAATGAGGGCCTGAGACTGAACACAGACCACAGCCTTATTTCACTTGAAAGATGGTTCGCTTATTCTATTTCTCCCCAGTAAAATAAAACATGCTGATACCTAACCAATGCCAAGAGGAACAAAACCCTTCATATTTCTACACAATCAGTGATACTGACATCTGTTCCCATGTTGAAACCATATGTTTAGTTAATGCTTTAAAAGATCCTTTTCCTTAGTCAGTCCCAGTAATTTATGATACAGAGTAAAGACTGATACAAAGGTCCACTTATAGTTTCTTCAAATAAAATTTAAACAGTCTTACTATGTTAACTCTAAGAAAATTTTAGTTTAGTAGAGCTTTACTGGGGTTCAAAATTGACTCTGCTTGTAATTAAACATATACTGTAACTTACACGAAATTCAGCCACTATCTTAGACTTGAGAGCAGCTTTTGGATTCGTGGATGCTGTTGGAATTAAACAAAAGGTTATTAAACATACAGAAACAGAGTTGATTAATAATCAGGTAAAATTTCGGTTCTACAGTTCAGGGTATACTCTCTGAACATACGCCAAACATGCACTTAAATGCTAATTCCTAGAATAACATGACATTTAAACACTCTCAAGTATGATCAGTATAAAAGTATACCATTTAGATAGAGCTAACCTACTTACCTCCAACAGACCCTTTCAAGTCATAAAGTTCAAGAATTATGGATTTGGAGACAGTAAGATGCATGCAACAGTCTGACGGCGAGTAAGAGGATCTCAGCACCTCAAATTAAGGGTATTTAGGCTCAGGACATGCAATTAATCCTGAGCACTGGCTGAAGAAAATTACTTAGAAATAGCAACTCTATTCCGATGTACTTAGCTTTGGATTTCATTTTCTGCTGACTCAATTCACAGCAGAAATGGAAAATTCTAGTATATCACCAAGGTAGCTGATTTGTGGCCGAGAAGGTGACTCCTGCTGTCCCGAGCTCGCGCCTTGGGACCAAAGGATGTGAGAGGCGCCCCTGGTCAGCCCGAGCAGCATACACTCTTGGAGCAAAACCACCCCAGTGTCGCAGTTCCAAGGGTCTTTACCTTGCGCCCCACACACCTGGCCACAGGGCCTGCCCCTGCAGCGCTGCACCCCACCTCCTGCTGACAGGAGGACATGAGTAACAGGAGCTCGTGAAGGCATGAGCTTCTGGCCAGGACATGAGGCCCATGTCTAAATCGGGAGAGTGTACCCCAAACCTAAGGATTTCCCAACTCCCACAGAAATGCTTCTTGACGCCTGGTCTCTGCTCCTCATTAGCTCTGCTGTTTCATGTCAGCTGCCTCTAACTTCACGTATCTTTGAACCTGAGAGTTAGCCTGGACACTGTCAAGTATTTTTGCTTCTTTAATCCCCCAACTGCTCTTGAATCTTGACTCATTCAACCCTTTTTCTGCACTTCCTTTGTTTAAGGCAGGTTTTTATGCCATTGCTTTTTTAGAAGTTAACTCCATGATGGCTTGTTTAATGTTAAGTCACGAGGCGCCGACCAGCCTGGCAAACTCAGGCTCACCGCGGTTTATGCCAGGTATGATGTCAAACAGTCCACATTTTTCTCCTGCTCCAAAAAGAGGAGGTAATTTTATATTAGTTGAGATTTTGTTCCTTACTTTGTGATTTCTTCCACTGCTTATTCGGTTGTTTGTTCAGATTTTCTTTCAGCTGCTTCTGAGTTTTGAAAGTGGTACCTGGAAAACATTTCAGTTTTGATGTCTGGCATCATGGGAAGCTGCCCCATCTGTCCACTTCAGAGTCAAAGTTGTGGCATCAACAAAGGCAGCCCCAGACTGTGTGCTTGTTTCTTTTCCTTCATTTTATCAAAAAATAAGAACAGCTACCAGATCTAACAAGCTGTCAAATAAACACTTCTATAAGAAAGCACTGATTCTGAGGAGGAGGCTTACCAGTACTTGTTAGAAATTCAAATGATGAATTTAACAGCTTGTTGGAAGCAGCTCTCTCTAAAGCAAATTTCTAGGCAAACGATGGCAGTGGTATCAGACATCAACAGCTTCTATTCAATGACTTAATTACATGCATCTAGTACTTAGGAACTAAATAACTTTTTGAAAGATAGGCAACTTACTAAACATCTAAATCAAGGGAGAGTCTGAAGAATGACAATATACACTTAATCCCAAATAGCTTAGTACTGACACCAGTCCAAAAGTCTCCAACAGCAAGCAGACAGGGCATTAAATATTCATCACAAGCAATAAACAAGTTAAACCACCACAGGGCGCTGACCCTCTCCCTCCCTGGGCTGGGATGCCTCCTACCTGGGAGGGGGAGGAGCTGGTGGCCAGGGCCCTTATTAATCACCAATACCTACATCACACCCCACCCCTATGTCAACACCCACCCCCCCACCCCCACCCAGGGTGTTGCACCTGAATAAAGCATGACAGAGGGGCAGAGTCCCTGCAGTGATTGGGCACCAAGCGGACTACCCAAGACCTGCGGTTGGGCGCCTGCCACTTTGGAGCAGCGCTGTGAGATGATGGGGTGCCTAAGGTCCCCGTCTACAGACTCTGCCGGGGTGAAGAGCCTGGCCTCGCCCTGATGACTTGGGTTTGCTGACACAGTGCATCCTCCGATTGGTGGTGGTTGGCAGGGGGCACCTGCATCTTCCCTGCACTGTCAATTCTGGGGCACGTGAGTGCCAGTCAGATAGTCTCACTTGCCTTAAGTGCTTCGTTGTATTTAAAGGATTCACTAAACTATTTTAGGGCCAAAAAAAAAAAAAGACAACACTCAAATGGAACATGGGACACGATCTGGCGGCTTTTATCACTAATGTGTGTGACTTTCTTTAGTCAATAAAAACAACATCCAACCCTCCCAAATCATCTCTATCTTAAAATTTAATTCAAACATATTTCATTAAGTATTCAATTTTAAACAAACAGAGCCAGATCCCAAACTTTTTTCATTATTAAGTAACAGAACAAGATTTATCAACCATATATATATACACACACATAAAAGACTGAAAAATGATGCCGATTTTGCTTTTAGGAGTGTACAGATACTTACTCAATGCTTCTCTTAGTGCCATAATCATTTCTTCTGGATATACATTTCTATCTTCCCAGATTTTAAAGATTCGCTCTATAGACTTAGAGACAGATGGATCCCTAAAACAAAAGAAAAAGTGAGGCTTATCAATGTCAACACATCTCAAACTAGAAATCTGATAATAAAGTCATCAGGAAAATTATTTTCCAAATGCCTTCTGGTATTCTGGTGTTCATTAAAAAAAATTCCTACAGTGTCTAGGACTAAAATCTTACTCTTACTCAACACTTTCTATGAGGTCCTGGCCATGCTGTGACGACACACAGCGGACTTCCTGATGGATGTGACGAGGGCATCCTCTGGGGTGCTTGAGGACACAGCTGGCACCCCAGAGGATGCCCAGCTCTGGTGAGGGGAGACCTAATAAGAACCTGTTCAAAAAGGAACTGCACTAGTGCAGAGTGAGAAAACAGGGCTTGCAATGATGCAAGGCTTGTTTTTTATTTTAAGGGTTTTGTTGAAAACAATCATGAATTAATCACATAACTGCCACACATTTTCCAAAATGTGACAGTCTAATGCTGAAATGTATCTCCAGGAGGAGGGAGGTGAGGCGCAGCCCTTTATTCTGCTTGCTTCACAGATTAAAATCATATCTTAGGTTGAACTACTGAAAAAACTAAAAAGCAATACAGGGCAGGATAACTGTAATAAAGAAGAGGAATAAAACTGGTTCTGTGACCAAAGTATGAAGTTACAGGGAAAGAATTTTCATTCTAACAGGTCTGTAACACTGGAGACATTCTAACATTTGTAACTGATCTGTCAAGACAAAATATATTTTGTTAAAATAAATAAAACCAATATAATTACCAGTCATCTATCAATTTTCGGGCAACATTACAAATATCTTTCCCCATAATGCATTTTAATTTTTAAGTTACATTATGAAATGGAATTTCAAAATGTGGCTGTGTTGAAGTAAAAAGCACTCTCTGCCACTTTTTAAGTGTGGAAAGTCTTCCTACCACAGGTTTTATAAATGATATTCTTTTTTTTTTAAGACTTATTTATTTATACAAGAACGGGGGTACAGGCCAGATGTGCGGGAGGGTGAGAGGATTCACCAGAGACAGAGTGGGGAGCAGAACAGGCAGACTGATTGAAATACACTGCTGAGGGGAGCAGCGGGAGAGACAGGAGAGGTCTGCTGCTCCATGTGGATAGCTCCCTGGCCGGGGCTGGAACTTGTGCTGCAGTGGCTGCGGACAGCCCTCACACGTTGCGTCTTAACCCATATGCCACCAGGGAGGCCCTAGGTTAATGTTAAATATATGGCATTTTAAAATCTGTTATAATCTTATATTTTGTTAAGAATGTAGTTTTATTTAAAAAAAAAAAAAAAAAGGCCCCCTTGGAGCAGATGGCTGGTCAGTTTGCGAGGAGTCAAGTCACAATTATCTGTAAATGATGGCTTTTCAACTAAACTACAGAGTGTCTTCCAGGCAGAGGTAATAATTTATTTACTGCTGCTTCTTCAGTACCCACAAGGTACCCACTTAGTAGTAACTCAACGAATGACAATTGGACTTTGTCATTTTCAAATTAAACTACCCATTATGACATCCCAGCCGCTACTTTACCAATGTCCTCAAGCAAATGAGCCGGAAGAAGAAGAAACGTATGTGACACAGGAAAAGGCACCGCCGGCAGGGAAACTAGGGATTTTAGTTCGCGCCTTAGTAAGAAGTCCTCTGGGGGCTAGGTTTCCGCATTTATAAGATAATTGGTACTACATACTTTCTGCCAGCTCTAAAATTTTTAGCTATATCTATTCTTTATTTACAGAGTTCTCAGACTTCTGCAGTTCAACCACCTCTCATATTTAGGAATTCTCTCACATAAAACAAAATCTGGAACAGTAGTCTGTCTTACTCTGGTATCCTAAGAGCCCTGTTTTAGCTGCTACTTGCCACAACCTCAATTCCTACAAATGTACAATTAACGTTAATAGAAACAGTTATCAACTCTCTTGTTTGACTTTTAAGTAACCATAGAAATTGGCTCACCTTGCAGAATTGTTAGGGTGTTCAATAATGCTTCCTCTGCTAGCAGCCCGCCCCGCCACCCTCACCTCTAAACAGTGAGAGAGTAAGGCAATTAATTAAAGCAGGAAGTTGACGACAAGCACAATACAGTGTCCAGGTATGAGTCAAAATAAAAAGACCAGGGGGCCTCCCTGGTGGAGCAGGGGGTAAAGATAGCGCTATCAAGCTGTCGCCAGCCACTGAAGCAGGAGCTCGATTCCTGGCCAGGGAGCTACCCACAGGGCACAGCAGACCACTCCTGTCTCGCCCGCTGCTCCCCTCAGCAGTGGATTTCAGTGGATCCACCTGTTCTGCTCCCCACTCTGTCCCTGGTGAACTCTCTCACCCCAAGTTCTTGCATGCATAAACAAATAAATCTTTTAAAAAATAATAAAATAAAAAAACCTAAAACCATCACCCTGTGCGTGCCTCACTTAGGACAGCGTCTCTTTTAAATCAATTTCTTCATTCTGGAATGGGATCAGATCAACATGCTTTATCTTGCAGGCGCTCAGTGTTTGCTACCTCACTGAATGGAAGACAAACGATGGTCCACTCAAGGAGGCAGCTGATAATCAAAACACTTTGGAGCTCTGAAATAGGTAGACAGACTTTATCTGATGCTAAACATTGGCGACGCTGCATCTTCTACAATAATTCCCTTTTATATAATGAACTCTTTCATTTGTTTATAACAAATACCTTCCTGGGTGTGTCCTTTGTCTTCATTTATTTTTTTTTTTTAGGTTAAAAAAAATTTTTTTTTTTTAATTTGTACAAGAGCCGGGGTACAGTCCAGATGCGCGGGAGGGTGAGAAGATTCACCAGAGACAGAGTGGGGAACAGAACAGGCAGGCTGACTGAAATACATTGCTGGGGGGGAGCAGCGGGCGAGGCAGAAGAGGTCTGCTTGCCATGTGGGTTGCTCCGAGGCCGGCGGGGATAGAACTGGCACTGCAGAGGCTGCGGACAGCTTCACAGCACTGCGCTCAACCGCCTGCGCCACCAGGGAGGCCCTTTGTCTTTAATTTTATGGTGTCTTCTGTAATACAGTTTAATCCTGATATAATTCATATTTTTATTCTCTGTTCTTTGTCTTAGAGCTTCTTAACCTCCCTATAATCATGTAAGTACTTGTATTTTCTTTTAATATTTTAAAGTTCTGTTTTATATATCAAGGTAATTTATTTGGAACACTTTTGTGTAGGCAAACACTTAACACTAAAGTTTATTTTTTCCACATGGGAAGCTTATGTCCCACAATTACTTACAGAAGGTTTCATTCTCACACTGCAGTGATTTAGGGGCTATAACAGAAGAGACAACCCTGGGCGCAGAGGTCAGGAAGTGACAGCTTCTTGAGGATGCCTGCTCTTTTAGGAAGGTAGAAGGGTTGCGTGAGTAAAACCCTAGAGAGCTTATCACCTAGCTGGGAATACTATATGACTCTGTATCTATTATGCAGTTTTTTCTTGCAGGTTGTTAAATTTTCAAAAGCAACCAACTTCTTCATTTATTCAATATTATACTTTTGAAAATCATGTTTAGTCCTAGTAAGTCTTTTTGTGTTCTAGTTTGATCTCTTTAAGTAATAACATTTTGAAAATTGTGACATAACATGACAAAAATTGCATAAAACATATGGAAGTATATACACATATATAATTATTCAAGAGTAATTTAAAAGTGAATGTTCAGGGCCTCCCCTGGTGGTGCAGGCGGTTGAGTACAGTGCCGTGAAGCTATCTGCAGCCTCTGCAGCATGGGTTCCATCCCAGCTGGCCAGCGAGATACCCACATGGTGCAGCAGACCTCTCCTGTCTCACCCGCTGCTCCCCTCAGCAGTGTGTTTCGGTTCGTCTGCCTGTTCTGTTCCCCACTCTGCCTCTGGTGAATCCTCTCACCCTCCCGCACATCTGGCCTGTGCCCTGGTTCTTGTATGCATGAATAAATAAATCTTTACAAAATAAAAAATAAAAGTGAATGTCCATATAATCACAATCCAGGGTAATAAATCAAGCACTGCCAGCTCCCGGGAGGACTGCAGTGGGCCCCTGAAGACCAAGAGCCCTCCCATCTCCCAGAGATGGTGGACTTTGTGGGGACCGTCCCCTTGCTTTTCTCTTAGTTTTAACATCTAGGCATACACGCACAATAGTTTATCTTTGTCAGATTTGAACATTATATAAATGAAATCATACCATATAAATACTCCTTTGTATTTAAAACAATATTTGTGAGATTTATCTGTGATATTATGTGTAACTGAAATTCATTTATTTTGTTTGCTGTTTTGTATTTCAATACACCACAATTCACCCATTTTACTGCAAAAGAGACCAGGCTGTCTTCACAATTTTATTACCATGAACAAAGACGAGCTGCTATAAAAAACTTCCACTGATCGTGCTGCACATATGCAAAAATTTCTCATGGCTAAAACCTCGGTGGAATCCCAGGGTCACTGGGGATACGTTACAAACTGTTTTTAATAGAAGGTTGTTTCATGCCAGTCAAACCTCAAACCAAAAGTACATGAGAACTCCCACTGGGCCAGACCTTGCTAATGCTGTTATTAGCAGACATTAAGGATCTCCCTGGTGGCGCAGGGGTTAAGTCTCAGCACAATGAAGCTATTGGCAGCAACTACAGCAAGAGTTCGAACCCCCGCCAGGGAGCTGACACAAACGGCGCAGCAGGCCTCTCCTGTCTTCCCACTGCTCCCCTCAGCAGTGTTTCAGTAGATCCTCCTGCTCTGCTCCCCACTGTCTCTGGTGAATTCTCTCATCCCCTGCACCTCTGGTCTATACCCCAGTTCTTGTATGCATAAATACATAAAATAAATCTTTAAAAAAAATAAAATTGATGCCCTGTCTGGTAGATCTGTGTGCCACTTACTGCCTTTTTGTGATCCTAGAGCCGGAGAGCAAACTCTCTTTATTTCCCCTCTGTTCAGTGTTAGCCTCTGTCAACAGAGGGCCCTGGAGGGAGGCTGAGAGGCAGGAATAGGTAGTGAGGATGCCTCAAACAGG